TTTATCTTCCTATTGTTAAGTTTCATGAGTTCCCTGTAAATGTTGGAGATTAAACCCTTATCGGTGATATCATTGGCAAATATGTTCTCCCATGTAGTGGGTCTTCTTGTTGTTTTGTTGATGGTTTCCTTTGCTGTGCAAAAGCTTTTTATTTTGATGTAGTCCCATTTGTTTATTTTCTCTTTAGTATAAACTTTTATTCTTTATATATATATATTTTATTGATTTCAGAGAGGAGGGAGAGGGAGAGAGAGATAGAAACATCAGGGGTGAGAATCATTGATCGGCTGCCTCCTGCATGTCCCCTACTGGGGATCCAGCCCACAACCTGGGCATGTGCTCTTGACCAGAATTGAAGCTGGGACCCTGCAGTCCGCTGGCCGACGCTCTATTCACTGAGCCAAACCAGTTAGGGCCAGATTGCTTTTCAACATGTGGTTTGCTGAATTGCATTGTTTCTGTTTGACCTTCATTTTTTGTTTATTTATATTCAAACCTACTCCCTTTACCAGTGGCTTTTTCGTGATGAAAGCTTCCTTTTAGAAAGTCTGGTTTGTGGAGATAATTTAGGTTTGCTTCTTGGCAGGCTGAGAATAGGTGCTCACTGAATATGTTTTGAGTGAAGAGCAAGTTAAATATATAAGCTCCATAAGGGCAAACGCATGCATTGTTTTGTTTATGTCTATATAAACACTTATAAACCTTCATTTTTCTGGAGAAGACTGTTTTGGGTATTGAAAGGCTCTCTCCCAGCATGCTCAGGGTTAACATAGCTAACCTGTCCAGTGCCCCATGGTTGAGCAATCAGTTAGTTCCTGCTAACACCGTTCATAAAGGAGCATTAAGACTAAGGCCTTTTTGTGTTTGCAGATTTCTCTCTAATGTACTTACAAAATGGCTCTTTCAGACACTGCCACACGTTGGCACCTCGACTTTCATGGAGAGTTTGACTCTAGGAACTGGTAGTGCTCAGAGTTCTCAGAGGGGGAGAGCTCTGCAAGGAGGGGCAGCCTGCCTGGCTCACGGGGTAGTGCAGTCCCAGCTCCTTGTGCTGCAGCTGACCCTTGGGGAAGCCTGAGCAAGAATGTGGTTCTGACAGCTTGACTAGGTTGGGCTACAGAGGCTCTGGGCAGGGTGTCCCACCTTCGCTCTTTTGCTGGGCCAAGGATATTCTTGAGGAAAGGTGAGCGAACTTCTTACATTGCAGCCAGGGATCCTGGAGTCTGGGGAAAGGGTCCCTCATTCCCACGTTTGCAGGTCAGCTTCCTCGGTTGCCATCAATTTTGGTGTCTCGGGGACGAATTTGCAAGCCCTGGGCAGTTTATTCCCTGAGGTAGTGTTTGAATTGTAAACTCTCTTCCTTGGAGGGAGGAAAAGTAGGGCAGGTCATGAGTCCCACAGTCAGAATTTCTCCAAAATCCAGTCTACTCCCCACATCCCATCCTGCAGTGAAGGATATAGTTGAGGCCAGAAACGTGATGACACTTGGCCATCGGTTACTAGGCTGGTTAATGGCAGAGGCTCCACTAGAACCAAGGTCTTCACAGGGTACATGGTGTTTTCCACTTTATTAGGTACTTACCACTTTGCTTAAAAGGAATTTCATAAACTAATCTTTTTTTCTTTATAGCAATCTTCTCACTGCCATACTTCCCACTCTGCTGAGAAGGCCATTCCTAGCTTTTATTTACTTTTATTGTTCTCCCTTTATACTTTCCTGGTAGCTAAGACTAGAAAAAGTTCATCCTTCTAGATTCCTTCTCTGGCTTTTCCACCCTATGGGAAATCCGGATCTTGTTGCCAAATTATCTCCCTTTGGGAGGAAAATCCCCATTTCTTCCTTAAGGGGAGTTCCAAGGTTGCAGCCTGAATTTGATAATTGGAGGAGAACTGAGGGTTAGAGATAAGTGTCTTTTTTTTTTTTTAATCCTCACCTGAGGATATGTTTTTACTGATTTTAGTGAGAGGGGAGGAACATCAGTGCCTGAGGGAAACATTGATCGGTTGCCTCCTGTACCCACTCCCACCAGTGATCGAACCCGCAACCTGGGTATGTGCCCTGACCGGGAATTAAACCAGCAACCTTTCGGTGCAAGGGATGATGCTCTAACAACTGAGCCACACTGGCCAGGGCAAGTGTGTGTCTTTTTGGATACTTACTTATTCAACAAATATCTGTGTGCCTCCCAGATGCCAGGCACTCTTCAAAGTCATGAGGCTGTAAAAGTGAACAAAACCTCCCAAATCTCTCGTATAGTTTGCATCCTGAGGGGTGGAGCTAGGCAATAAAAAACGGTAAAGCCGAATGTGAGAGCGTATGAAAGAGAAAGCCAGAGTAGGGAAGAGGGACAGATTTCTGAGGCATGGGGTTGCAGTTTTCAATATGGGAGTGAAGTTCATACTCAAAGTGATTTGTGGGCAACGATTCGAAGGACGTAAGGCCATGAGCCTGCCAACGTCATGGGGAAGAGGACTCTTGACCAAAAACAAAGCCTTTGCCATGGACTTTGACCTCATCAATTATTAAGCCATTGCCTTGGGTCAACAGTGATGGATCCTGGAAGCTGATTGTGAATAGAGGAGCTGAGTGAGGGGAATCGACCTTGATGGTGACAGCACACCCTGGTTTTAGGGAAGTGTCCCTTAGGAGATTATACAAAAGGGTTTAAATTAGACAGTGTTAGAAAAACCACCCTGATTTGGTTTTTAGACTAGAAACCACAGTTCTTCCATATGTATGCTTTTCATAGTGGGGCCCACTGAATTTTGTGATTTGTTTGACTATCCCTTTTCTTTGTTTGCTATAATGGAGCCTGCTCCCTCATTGATGGCATTTTTCTTGAGTCTTTTTTTCTAGAAAGACCAGCTATACAGAGACAGATGATTTGCCTCATGGCAGGCCACTGAGTGAAGGTGCTCTGAGTGTTTGTGGGTTGAGCAAAGCAAGTTGGATGTTTGTGAGCTTCCTCTGTTTGTGGGTGGTATTCTCGGAGCTAGCCTGCTCCCTCGTCCATGGGCCACTGGGTAACTCAGTTTACCTCTTTGTGCCTTAGTTTCCTCACCTGTATATTGGAGTAATATGGGACCTAATTCATGAGGTTGTTAAAATTAAATGAGTTATTACTTATAATAAAGCAGTGCCTGGCACATAGAAAGTTTTAATAAACAGGTGCTTGGGAAATACTTGTTGAATAAACATGTGGTATTTGTGTTTATTCAGACTGTATCTTTGGTAGCCTGTCTATTTCAAGACTATCTAACCACAGATTTGGCCACCAGAGCGGATTATGTTCCCAAGTCCCAAGCAGGCCTCTGGATCATCACCCAAAGGGAATACGGAAAGAATGTGGAAAATTGGGGTTCTCCACTTGGAAAGAAAGAGCAGGTCAAGAGCTCTTATCTGAGATAAGCCTCACAAAGGCCTGGCCTTTCTTGCTTTTAGAAATGACAGAAGTGCTCTGGCTGCTGTAGCTAAGGTGGTTGAGTTCATCCCATGCACCAAAAGGTCACTGGTTGCAATCTCCGACAAGGCACAAGCCCAGGTTTTGAGCTAGATCCTCCGTAGCGGGGCATGCAAGAGGCAGCCAATCGATGTTTCTATCTCACATCCATGTTTCTATCTCTTTCTCCCTTCCTCTCTCTCAAAAAAAAAGAAAGAAAGAAAGAGTTCATTCTTGTATTATTTATTACTGATCACTTACTAAAGCTGTGCTCTGTGGGCCTTTTAAGAATCATTTGAGGATTACTCTAAGCTTCAGTGTTTGTTGACTCAGGCAGCTTCATTTTCATGTAGCTGTCTTCTCCATGTAGTTAAATATCCTTTACTGCCTTCTTTGTCTACCTGTAGCTTCTGTTGAGATGTCTTTGTTAGGTCATATTTTAGGAATGCTTTTCTCTCAGTCCTAAAGTTCCAAAATTAGAAAATGAGCCATCATCTTAGACAGAATGAATTGGATTTGTAATGGACTTTTCCAGGAATAATTGTACAAGACTTTGGGCAAAAGCTATCTGGGTGACTGTTTAGGAGTGTTAGGGGTCCTCTGACTAGGACTCTTCAGAGGTAATATGATTCCATACAGATGTGCATCTTTGACTTTTATTATCTAGGCTTTTTTGGAGGAAACTGATAGTAACAGACTCCTGTCCATACACATTCAAACACACATTGACAGGTTGAGATAAATGATTCCCACTTTGATGTTTGCCTCTTAGAAAGAAAAGATAATGCCCCAAATTGTGTTTTATTGTCCAATAGCAGGGTTTCTCACCCTTGGGCACTGTTAACATTTGCGCTAGATAATTCTTTGCTGCGGGGAGGGGATATCCTGTGCATTGCAAGATATCTCGTTGCATCCCTGGCATCTACCCACTAGATGCCAGTAGTAACTTTGTTAAAGCTTCATCAGCGTCTGTTCAGAACTAATTGGCTATGATAACTATTTTACTAGTATCTATTGTCATGACTTGAGAAATTTTAATGGTTTACTACTATTTGTCTTACTACATCCGTTGACACTCAGATATTTTCTCCAACATCGAGACTGAGATATTTCTTCCCCTTAGATTTTAGAAGATGTTGATGGAGGATGGTGTAACTTTGGCATGAGTAGTTCTATTTGGGGATCAGGAGTATTTCTCCAAATGCCTATTTCTGCTTCACTTTGTCCCCAGATGTTTTACTAGGGTGGTATAGATCATGGCCTTGGTAGAAATGGGCATCTGCAACTCAAGGAAGTTTCTGTTAATTTAGGTTTCAGTGGTTAGGAAATTCTTCTATTATAGCATTTAAACTTTCTGGAAGTAATGAGCCATAAAAATTAAGGCACTTTCCACCATTTAATTCATCGCAGCTCTGGGACCCTAACGTAAAGACACAAGGGAGAAGGAGTGCTGACTTTTCTCTCCAGAGTCCTCTTTTGTAAAAGTTTCTGAACTTCAGCCAGACCTGACACTTGGCTTTCTTTATTTCACTTTTCATCTCAGGGTTCTTCAGCTAGTGGCCTACCCAGGAAATTAAAACAGGAAAGATATTTTTAAGGGACTTACGGAGACCCAATTACCACTGTCTTTTTTTTTCTTTTTCTCACCAGAGCTGAAAACTTTCCACTTGTTGCTTTAGTGTTTGGAGCTATTGACTTAGTTCTTGCTGATTGTGCATTTCTAAATGCCTCTTATTGCTATTCTGGTCATGTCTCATAACAAGGCCTAAATGTTAGCTTTTAAATAAATCTTTCTAGTGGGGAGAATATCCCTGCTAATACAGTTTCAAAAACAATCCTGCTTTTTTTTTTTATGTTTTTATTGATTTTTTACAGAGAGGAAGGGAGAGGGATAGAGAGCTAGAAACATCGATGAGAGAGAAACATCGATCAGCTGCCTCCTGCACACCTCCTACCGGGGATGTGCCCGCAACCCAGGTACATGCCCTTGACCGGAATCGAACCTTGGACCATTTAGACCGCAGGCCGACGCTCTATCCACTGAGCCAAACCGGTTTCGGCACAATCCTGCTTTTTAAAAAATATATTTTTATTGATTTCACATAGGAAGGGAGAGGGACAGAGAGATAGAAACATCAATGATGAGAGGGAATCACTGATCAGCTGCCTCCTGCACACCCCCCACTGGGGATCAAGCCTGCAACCCGAGCATGTGCCCTTGACCGGAATCGAACCTGGGCTCTAGCCACTGAGCCAAACCAGCTAGACTAGAGCAACAATTCTGCTTCTTAGGAAAAGTTCCAGGAAGTCAGTGTAACTGATCTGAAGCTATAATCTTTTTTAGAAAAAATATTGCAAACTGAGACCCACTTAAATGATAGCATAGAAAATACAGAACATTTTGTTCTTTGTTCTTAACATTCTGGGCTGACACATTTTCCACCTATACCACCTTGTAGAACTGGGTTCCCATAGCTTGCTACCTGCTGGGGAAAAGTATTATTTTTAATTTTCTCTACACTTCCTTTTTCAGGTCTCAATGCTCACTTATTCTAGAATCCTTATGAGATTAGATAAATAAATGCACCGTATCAGTATGAAATCTGCGCTGTGCCTTAAAATGTTTGTAATTGTCAGTCTTTCCAGCTCATTTCACAACCCCAAAACCTCAGAGTCATCCGTAGCTCCAATGTTTTCTCTGTGCTTCATATTAATATGTCTAAAATCCAACCACTTCTTGCCAGCCTAACATTGATACCATATTCCAAGCCACCATCAACCCAGGCCTGGATATTAAGAAAAAAATTGTAAATGGAAGATTATAAGAGAGGATTTCGCGTGCCAGCAAAAGTTACTGGCGTGCCATGTTTGGCACGCGTGCCAGGGGTTGCCCACCCCTGACATAGACAGATCTTGTTATGTTCATGACTGTGTCAAACTGGGCAAGGACTATTTTGACTACTTACTTATGGATGTAATTTAATATACTTGATGTCCTATTTGTTGTATTGTTGAGAGGTTGTGTGTTGATAAGCTAATTTATCATTGTTTCAGATCAGGTTATACTTTCAACCTTGTGTTAAATACTTTTGTAAGGAAAATCCTTCTGTGAATTAGAGTATAATTTTTTAAATTTTTATTGAGAGAGAAAGAGGAACATTGATTTGTTGTTCCACTTATTTATGCATTCATTGGTTGACCTTTGTATGTGCCCTGACCAAGGGTCGAACCCCCAACCTTGGCGTATTAGGATGATGCTCTAACTAACTGAGCTACCTAGCCAGGGCTAGAATATAATTTGTAAATTCATATTGAATTTCAGTGGGATTTACTATCATTCAGCCTTATGTGGATACCCTGTAATTATTGTACTATGGTAGGTTGAGCAGGTGTGAGCTAAAATTCCTTCCTGCAAAATTTTTCATATAGCACTTGGTGACTAGAAACAATGAAGAAATATGAGGATTAGCAGCCTTCCAGAAGTGTTGGGCCAAGTTTTCATTTGTTCACTGTGTTATCTTGAATGCCATAACTAATATGTTTTAAACTGTCCCCATACTACATGACCCAGTCAGTATCAATAGAAGTTAGAAATGATCCATGTTGCCCTAGCCGGTTAGCTCAGTGGTTAGAGCATCAGCAAGCAGACTGAAGGGTCCTGGGTTCGATTGCAGTCAAGGTCACATACATTGGCTTCAGGCTCAATTCCTGGCCCTGGTTGGGCCTATGTGGGAGGCACCCAACTGGTGTGTCTCTCACATTGATGTTCCTCTCTGTCGCTTTCCCTCTCTTCCACTCTCTCTAAGAATCAATGGAAAAAATATCCTCAGTTGAGGATTAACAACAACAAAAAAGAAGAAAAGATCCATGTCTATTTGAAGCCTGGAAAATTGATGGGCAGTACATATTATACCTGTTAATGACTCTTCTGTTTTTAATTTAAAAGAGAAATACATATAGTAATCCACATCATTTTTTGCTTGAAACATTGTGTTAACTCCAACCTTTCCTTTTTCTCTAGGCAAATAAGGGAGCAACTGAAGAGCCAGGTCACTCAGATGAAGGAGCAAGTACCTGGTTTCACACCAGGCCTGGCGATATTACAGGTATTATGGCAGTGCATTTCCACCAGTAACCTCCTTACTCAGTCTCTCAGTAGCACTTAAGACAACAAGAACTTCAGTCTCTCCCCATTTTTTATTTATTCGGAGGGGGGTGGCTTCTGTGAAACCTTAGACCAGTGGTTCTCAACCTTCTGGCCCTTTAAATACAGTTCCTCATGTTGTGACCCAACCATAAAATTATTTTCGTTGCTACTTCATAACTGTAATGTTGCTACTATTATGAATCGTAATGTAAATATCTGATATGCAGGATGGTCTCAGGCGACCCCTGTGAAAGGGTCGTTCGACCGCCAAAGAGGTTGCGACCCACAGGTTGAGAACCGCTGCCTTAGACCTTTGCAATTTCTCCTTGCAGGTTCCTCTTCAGCTCAACTTCTAAATGTTGGCGTGCCCTGGCCCTCTGCTGTTCTCTGTGGGCACCCTTCCCCTGGTCCAGTGTCTCTTGAGATTTGGTCTTAGGATCCCTTTATGCTTTGAAAAATTGAAGACCTTTAGGAACTTTTTTTTAAAGGAGCTTTTCTTTTATGTTGATTTATCCATTGATATTTACTGTATTAGAAATTAAAAATGAGAGGCTTAAAAAATATTTACACGTAAAAATGCCCAATGGGAAGATCATTATATGTTAGCATAAGTAACATTTTAATGAGAAAACTTGTAGAAAACAAAATTTAGTGAGAAGATGGGCAGTATTTTACATTTTTTGCAAAACCCTTTACAGTCTGGCCTAATGGAAGACAGTGGGGTTCCCATCGTATCTGCACTCAGTCTCTTGCTATATGCTGTGTGATTGAAATGTATGAGCCAGCGGTCCCGGATTGCAAGAGGGATGTCTGACTGCCAGTTTAGGCCTGATCCCTTCAGGGATCCCTACGGGATAGGGCCTAAACGGGAGTCGGACATCTCCCAAGGGGTCCTGGATTGTGATAGGGTGCAGGCTGGGTTGAGACACACACCCCCCCCCCCCCCCCCCCTTCCGTGCACGAATTTTGTCCACCGGGCCTCTGGTTTTTCTTATAAAGATGTGAAAGGGAAGGCTTTTTAAAATAGTCTTTCCAGATAATTGTGAATATACCAGGATTCAATAAGCAGAGTTTTTTAAGGTTAGTTACAATGTGTAATCTGAACCTTATCTTTGAACTTTCATACTTTGTTGCATCGAAATCTGTGTTGGAGTTTGAAAGAAAATGTACCCCGTTCATAGTTTTGTTATGTCCTTCATTCCTCATTTGGACAATAATAGTTCACTGGATTATGCAGAACTTCCAAATGTTAACACATTGATCTGGCATAAAAAAAAATCATGATCATTAATATCACCAATGAACTCGTTGGAAAAGACTTTAAGTATTGAGAAGTCAAGCTCACAGGAGTGAATTTTAAAATTCCGATTTTTCGCTTAGAAACTCAAATTTTATCATTGGCCAACAAATACAATTCGTTATTTTCCTTGAAGTAGCACGATAACTTTGTCCACTGTTGAGAAAATATTGCCAAATATTCAAAGCTGAATAATATTGTTTGTCAGTTCTTCTTTCAAGTCAAGATGGTGTTCCATTTAAAAATACAGCTGGCTCAGCTTGCAGGGCAAAACAGCCCAGTGCTTCTGCCGCCAGCCAGTGTACTTTGGTATGCAGCGGAAGTGCTCGATGAGTGCTTCCCAGTTCCCTACACAGGGTACTAAAAAGGTCGATTCTCAGGGTCCAGGCTTAATAACACGAATGGCTCTCACTGCTTCACCCGGGCACCTGTAAGTGACACTGGCATCAGTTTTTCCTGAGCATGGATGGCAGTGAAGTCACCAGCCGTCTTACTCATTCACCATTACTTGTGCAGCCTCAATAAATGGCAATACAGTGAAAAAAGCAAGTGACATTGTCGTGTCATTATGAAAATTGTTTGGCACTCAACAGGTCTGAAAGGTCTTGGGATTGTCACAGGAATGTGTGGACCATTGCCCCAGGCCAGCGATTTCCAACCTTTTTGCACCTCATGGCAAACAAACTAATTACTAAAATTCTGTGGCACGCCAAAAAATGTATTTTTTGTTGACCTGACAAAAAAAGAAAAAAGGTATAATTTTGACTCATTCACACCAGCCAGCTATTGTTGTGTTGGCTGTTGGTTTTTGTTGGTTTTTGACAATCTAAGAGAAAAGAGGTCAGTGCCTCTGACTAAATAGTCAGGCATTGCATGTTTTAAAAATTCTTGCGGCACACAGGTTGAATATTGCTGCCCTAGGCAATTTCACCTGGCTCTGAATATCAGCCGTAGGCCAGTAACTTATACACCCTGGATCTCTTCTGAGTCTGGACTCTGGCTTTCTGGGACATCACTTATTTCCCTTTCTTCTAATCTTTTTTTGCTTGTTTCTCATCTCTCTGAGGAATTCAAATCTCCTGTTTCTTCCTCATCTCACCTAGAACATTTGAATACCTCAAGGCATAGCTTTCAACCACTTTTTCATCTTGTTCTTTCTCCAAGTGAGCTCACTCAGTCTCATGGTTACATGGGAGAATACATCCTAATTTAGACCTCTGTCCACATTTTCTTCCCTGAGCTCCAGATCCATCCAGTAGGAGGCCTTCAATAAATATTTGTTATATAGACAAATGTACAAAGAATGTTTTGAAGGGTTGATTTGTGTGACAGGAAACTGATAGCTTTCATTTGAAATTCCCTTCAGAAATAACTGCTTCCAGGTAGCTCAGTTGGTTAGAGCGTTGTTCTGATACGCCAAGGTTGTGGGTTTGATCCCCAGTCAGGGCACATACAAGATTCAACCAATGAATGCATAAATAAGTGGAACAACGAATTGATGTCTGGCTCTCTTTCCCTCCCTCCCTTTCTCTCTCTCTCTAAAAAATATCAATTAAGCCCAGCCAGCATGGCTCAGTGGTTGAGCATCGACCTATGAACCAGGAGGTCACAGTCAGATTCCCGGTCAGGGCACATGCCTGGGTTTCAGGCTCAATCCCCAGTGGGGGCGTACAGGAGGCAGCCGATCAGTGATTCTCTCTCAACTCCCTTGCTAAGTTTCTGTCCAATGTTCATCAAGAATTTCAGAGTGAATAGTACTTAAATATTTCCCCCATTTTTGTTAAATTTATTAAGAGGCCTTAGCTGAGAAGAAAAACACAGAAGGCCTGTTCTGCCTGGTGTGTTCTCTTCTGTGGTGGATATTTCTCTTTTTGCAAATTACTAAGAATCAAAGGTATATGTTGTGGGTATATACTCGGTACATGTGGGGGATCAGTTATTTCTTGGCTCATGCTTGTGAGTTGTTTGTTGTAGAAAGAGTAAATGTCATAAACTAGAAATCTGTTTCTTTACCCCTTTCCTTAGCAATATTGTTTTTTTCCTCCTGTTTTGTTTTTTTTTTAAATATATTTTATTGATTTTTTACAGAGAGGAAGGGAGAGGGATAGAGAGTTAGAAACATCGATGAGAGAGAAACATCGATCAGCTGCCTCCTGCACACTCCCTACTGGGGATGTGCCCGCAACCCAGATACATGCCCTTGACCGGAATCGAACCTGGGACCCTTCAGTCTGCAGGCCGACGCTCTATCCACTGAGCCAAACCGGCCAGGGCGTGTTTTAAAGATTGATTTCTAAACTCGTATTTTAAATTTATTGATTGCAAGTGTTTTTGTTTACATGAACAGTTTTCTACAGCTTTGTCTTCTCTGTCCTCGCCAATAAAACAGTGGTAGAATATTTTAATCTTGCACTTTAGCACCAGAGTTAGCATCTTTCCATGATGCAAGGCTTACACATACTGTGTTGTAATTGTTGGCCTTAAACAAATAGCTAATATTTCTCTACCAAAATGGGTTTATTCAGGAACAACAAACAGTTGTAATTCAGGACATGCAGTCTAAAGTGCACCACGTGCGAGTCCAGAGAAACAAAGGAGAGCAGAAGCTCTTTTGGGGACTTGGGAGGGGCTGCTGTAAAGGAAGAATCCACTGGAGGAAACTGGAAGGTCAGGGTCTGGTGACTTTTCATTGGCTGAGCTGCGGCAGCCTCCCATTGGCTGAGCTGTTAAGGTGCAAACCTTTCTTCCTGCTGAGGTAGTCAAGTTATACCACTTCCTGTGAGAGGTGCAAGGTCCATCTCTTCCTGCTGGGGTCAGTCGTGTGCTTTGAGTGATGTGTGTGAGCGTTCTCTCTTCCAGCCTCCCAACTCCACTTTCAATGAGCTTTCTGTTTATTTTCACATAATCACATCTCTGCTGCCTCGACCTCTCATTTTTTTTCCATCCTGGTGACCTGGCACCACCATCTTCCCACACCTGCAAACCAGAAACCTGAGATCACCTCTAGGATCTCCCTCACTCCACACATCCCCTTGGGGATTATGGTGCTATTGAGCCTGCCTCTCCTAAGCTCTTGGAATCTGTTCCTTGTTTTGATTTGTGCTGCTCCACCCCCTGGGGCCACTGCAGTCTGGCGCTTACAGGTTTCAAGTTTCTGATCTGGATGCTTCCAGTCCTTTGCTGCCCTTGTCAAAATGCAAATCTGATCACCACCCACCCATCCACACCCACTCCCATCCCTCCGGAAGGAAAAACAGTACTGCTTCATAGTGTCTGCTGACATTCAGTGATTTGTGTATATTGGTACTAGCCCTGCAGGTTGGGCACTGCCTCCTTATCATCACAGTAACTGATGCGCAGGGATCTTGGGAAGCTTTTCCGAAGCCACGGTCTGCAAGGGACCGAGTCTGGGATGTGAACCCAGATCTATCTCCAAAAACCATTTCCTTTTCCCCTTTGTTTTCCTAATTTCTTAGCATTGCAGTCAAGGATATTCATGATCTGGCTGGGGTATATGTACCTAAAAGTTGGAATTTTTAAAAAACATAATAGACTGTTAACTTCCCAAATAACTGAATATTTAAAAGAAATTATGACTTTTCATTCTCAGAGATACAAATGAGGTTGTATTCCATCCCCGTAGCATATAAAATACTTTATAATAAGAAAAGCATAATATGTAATTAGACCCGGACAGCCAAACAACCTTCCGGATGTCCTTCTGGACAACCTTCCGGACAAAGCTGGGGCTGTGAGGGCTGAGGTAAATATCCATGGCTGCGAGGGCCGAGCCCCTTGCACGAATTTCGTGCATCGGGCCTCTAGTCATTAATAATATAAGAACTAACACTTGCTTCCTACCAGGACTATTCAGAGTGCTTTGCTCATGGCAACTCATTCAGTCCTCACAAAGGACAAGGACAAAACAATAAAATTAATGAAACAATAAAATTAATTAATTCACCTGACCTGAATATCTCTTGAAGCAGAAAGAAAAATTAGTGAGTAGACCAATACCCAAGTTATTTTATGTTATAAAACAGGGGCCCAAGTCCAAATGCTGTTCAGGTTGTAAAGTGTTAAAAAAAAGAAGCAAAATGTGTGGCAATACATGGCCTGAAAAACCCTAAATATATACCGTCTGGCTTCTTCCAGAAACAGTTTGCAGACTCCTGTTGTTTAAAAAAAATATTCCTAACTTGTTCTGGGCAAGGACTTTCTTCAATAATGTAATTCACCTCCTTCTGAAAAGAAATTAGCATTCTGATAAAATGCTTAAGTGATTTTCTTGATAAACTCTAATGGATTTAAGATTTGTTCTGGGGAACCAGTCTTCCACCCACCCACTTGATTGACAGTCACGAATCTACTGTTCTTCATGAACCTTCTTTTGGCATCGAGTCTAGGATGATTGTATAACCGCTTTCCTGTCCTGAGAGTGAGTCTTTGAATTGGCTTCTAAGAGGTCTTTTGCTTTGCATTAGGACAGTGATGGCGAACCTATGACATGCGTGTCAGAGGTGACACTCGAACTCATTTTTTTGGTTGATTTTTCTTTGTTAAATGGCATTTAAATATATAAAATAAATATCAAAAATATAAGTCTTTGTTTTACTATGGTTGCAAATATCAAAAAATTTCTATATGTGACACGGCACCAGAGTTAAGTTAGGGTTTTTCAAAATGCTGACACGCCGAGCTCAAAAGGTTCGCCATCACTGCATTAGGATTATAACGAAACTTTGACATATGCTCATAACTGTAACTGTTAAGCTTTCTTTTTAAAATGAGTGGCAGTTTTGCCCTAGCCGGCTTGGCTCAGTGGGTAGAGCGTCAGCCTGTGGACTGAAGGGTCATGGGTTCGATTCTGGTCAAGGCCATACGCTTGAGTTGCAGGCTTGATCCCCAGTAGGGGCTGTGCAGGAGGCAGCCGATCAATGATTCTCATCATTGCTGTTTCTCTCTCTCCCTCTCCCTTCCTCTCTGAAATCAATAAAAGTATATTTAAAAAAATAAAATGGAGGTTTAGAAAAATTCTTTCTGAAACATTTAGACAGAAAACAGTTCCTATAATGGAACAACAACAGCAAAAAAAATTACTACGTCTCTGAAGGAAAATGATTTGACAGCAAATTCAGCCAAGTGGATCCTTCAAGTGCAAAAATAGCAAAACGATATTTTCAGATACAGAGAGACTCAAAAATGCCTACATACCTTTCATGGAAAAGTGACTTACAGTTGCGTGTCAGCTACCTGAGAGATGAGTGAAAGTAAACTGCAGTAGAGAGAAATTATAATTTTAAAAGGACGGGCAGTGGGCGATAAAACCATTTAAACTCAGAGTTAAGTCTAAATAATGAATTGTAGTTATAAATATTAATGAAAATGTAAAAAAATACTCTGTATTTAGGACCATCTTCTTTCCTACTTTGATCTAAAAGTCAGTGCATTAAATCTGGTAACTCAGTCAATGAAGGTTGGATGCTAGGGGCAAAGAATGTATAGAAAATGGCCAAAGAAAAAAATATGTGAGGCACTAAAATTCTAGGGAAGCCCCCACAGGAAGCAGGTTAGATTCAAATAAGCCATTAAAAAAATTACATTTCCCTCAACAGACTTATCTTTCAAGAGATGAAATTCAAATTGGCATTGGCAAAACAGATCTGTGTAAAGAACAGCAGAAGCTAAGAGTGAGACAATGATCGGTGGGCCTTGGGTGGGGGGAGCTTCCCATTGTAGCATCAACATGACAGGGACTGGAAATACTCTGTCACTAAGGCCAGCTTCTTTCTCCGCGGTTGTCCTGTTAAAAGGAGTCTTGCGTCAATATTGATGGACCTACCATTTTTCCCTCTGCGATTTTGGCAGAAGCCAAATTTATAGCATTTCACCCTGAGCATCTATTTCAACCTTGAAAAGGACAATTGTCAAACACTGGAACATGGAAAAATATTTGTAAAATAAAATTTTACAGATAAACGGTTACAGGGAAAACCTATAAATATGATCGTGATGAAGTAAATACCAGTAGAAGGAACATGGTGAGACCTAGCACAGTGGTTCAAAGGATTTGGCTGCTTCTTTGTCTTGGGGCCAGCAGACTGCCCTTTGCCTCGCACAGGTGTCTGCTCTGTGGAAGGTAGGAATAGTCCACTCTAGCTGGTTTTCTTCTCTTGTGTGGGCATGAGAGTTCTCCACTGCCCTTGGGAGTGAGGGAGAGGAAGCAGAATGTGCCCTCTGGGTGTTCCTGTCTCAGCTGTATCGTTTCTCTTCCTGATGACAGTCCCCCAGCCCTGTCTTTCTCAATGTCGGCAGAAATTCTACGCTTTAGGCAGGCCTGCAGCACCCTGGCCTAATTTTCAAGGCAGATACAGATGTCCCCTGCTTTTTCTTTTCTTTTGGCCTTGTTTGGGGAGGGATCCCTAATCCCACCTGTGTCCACATCTCCACCCTGCCCCAACCTTCTCCTGATTCTCCTGTTAGAGTTCTCTGCAACAAGAGTCAAAGAAGTTTTTCTGTACACCTTGACTTTCCTGATTGTCTGATTTGCATGTATTTATTATTCTAGGTTGGCAACAGAGATGATTCCAATCTTTATATAAATGTGAAGCTGAAGGCTGCAGAAGAGGTGAGGCGAGAACAGCAGTGTCGTCACCCCCACCTCACCCCAGGTCCTGCCTGCTACCCTTGCCCTTGGTGCGCCTCCCCATAAAACCTTTTCTCGCCCCCAGCAGACTTTCATTTATGTTGCAAGTCAGAAATGGGTGACTTAGAGCTGCAGCCTCTGGTTTACCCTTGAATATTTTCTAATCAGCGATCTGCCTACTTCCCAACGAGCAGGAATAGTGGACATGAAATTGCTGAAGTGCAGTGATGACAATTAAGTGAATGATGAGTGGGTCAAAATGAGAGGCTGATTTTTCAGAACATAGGGTGAAATGATTAAAACACCGCGTGTTTTGTTTTAGTCATATCTGTATGTCTCAAGTTCTCTTGCTGAACACCTGTTTTAAATGTTCATTTTTGCAGATTGGGATCAAAGCCACTCACATTAAGTTATCAAGAACGGCCACAGAAGCTGAGGTGAGCTTTTAGGAACTGAGTGTGAAGAGGGCAGCTGAAGGTTTTCCTCTCTGGTTTTGGTTTAATAGAACTTTAGGGATTGGTACATTCAGCATACAGAAGACCTCCAGGTAATTCTTTCTCCACAGACTCTGCCTCCAGAAAATCTTTGAAAATACCTACGGAGTAAATGGTGCAGAGCTAGGGTGTGAATGTTTGGTACTCAGAGTGTGATTGCAGCAGCATTTGTTTCCAAATCACCTGCAGTGTTGGTTAAAAAATGACCCCTTGCCTGTAGTTATATGCATCTTAAAAACCAAATGTGCATTTCATTTATATGATGCTCCAGAATAAGCAGAACAGCCCAGCCGGTGTGGCTCAGTGGTTGAGCATCGACCTATGAACCAGGAGGTCACGGTTTAATTCCCTGGTAAGGGCACATGCCTGGGTTCCGGGCTTGATCCCCAGTAGGGGGCATGCAGGAGGCAACCGATCAATGATTCTCATCATTGATGTTTCTATTTCTCTCTCCCTCTCCCTTCCTCTCTGAAATCAATAAAAGCATTTTTTTAAAAGAATAAGTCTGTGATTAAAATCAGAACTGTGGTTGCTTGTAGATAGTGGGTTAACTGAAGGGGCAAGAGGTTAGAAGAAATTTCTGAAGCCATGGAAATGTTCTGTATCTGCAGTGTCCAATAGGGTAGCCACTAGCCCCCTGTGGCCATTTAATTAAAATGAAAGAAAATTTAAAAATTCCGTTCTTCAGTTGTATTAGCCACATTTCAAGTATTCAGTAACCACTATTGTATTGTAAGTTGTGTAATAGAGAACATTTCTGTTATCACAGAAATCTTGATTTAGACCACGGTGACTGGGTATTATTGTTGAAGTTCTTAGTTCTTTGATGGGTTTCTTACCAGACCCCTGGTGACTATGTTCTGTGGTAAAGTAGAATTCTCTCAGGATTCAAGAGGAGGTACATTTAAAAAAAAAATACGTTTTATTGATTTTTTACAGAGAGGAAGGGAGAGGGATAGAGAGTTAGAAACTTCCATGAGAGAGAAACATCGATCAGCTGCCTCCTGCACACCCCCTATGGGGTTGTGCCCGCAACCAAGGTACATGCCCCTGATCGGAATTGAACCCGGGACCCTTCAGTCCGCAGGCCGACGCTCTATCCACTGAGCCAAACCAGCCAGGGCAAGAGGAGGTTCATTTTGAGATGATTACAATTAAACTCTTAGGGGGCAATGGGACAACCTTCCTTTTGACTTGGAAAGTGTTTCTCCACCCTTTGATTTCTGTGTGACACACAGATTGTATGTGGTATTGTTTTTAGGTATTAAAGTACATTACGTCTTTGAATGAAGACCACACCATACATGGGTTCATCGTGCAGCTACCTTTAGATTCAGAGAATCCCATTAACACTGAAGCAGTGGTCAATGCTATTGCACCTGAAAAGGATGTAGATGGGTGAGTGTGGCTTAACTTTCTACATCACATTGCATGGTTCCAAATATAAATAATATATTTGCTTCTAAAGAGTAAAAACACCTAAATTACCTTTATTTCCCCCTTCATTGCTTTCACTGTTTTAGATTGACTAACATCAGTGCTGGAAAACTTGCTAGAGGTGACCTCAATGACTGTTTCATCCCTTGTACACCTAAAGGATGCCTGGAACTCATCAAAGGGACAGGTAAAAACCAAAAGCAAAGCACCGTTTCTTAGAGGCTGGCCTTGACATGTGCAGGTACAGAGGAGGTTCATTGTGGGCCCTGCATAAATGGACTTGATCGGCCGGAGGACCGATCTGCTAGGGGGCTTTACCTAAATCCTCAGTATTATCAACAAGCCTATGAAATGGGTACTCTCATTGTTCAAAAGCTGAGAAAACAGGCTCAGAAAGATTGAGTAATTTGTCCAAGAGGCAGCAGAGCCAAGTTCAAAGAAATTTGTGTGTGTGTGTATGTGTGTGTATTGGGGGGAGGTGTGTGTGTGTGTGTGTGTGTGTGTGTATTGGGGGGGGACGGACCTCTATGGTAGTAAGAATTAAGATACTATGTAGGGGTACAATGTGAAAAGTCCCCACCTCCCCAGTGGGCACCTAGACCGATGTCTGGAAACCATCTCTGAACAACTGGCTATATTACCTCATCACCTAAGGAGCATTTTGGTATTTTGATTTCATCACAAATCCTTTAGCAGAGCTTATTTTTCACGAGGAAGTGTGTCCTGTGTAGAGGAAGTGGATCAGAAGTTTGAAGTGGAAAGTGCTGGCCTGTGTAAAAGAAAATGTTCTGTGGTTAGTGAGAAAAGGTCAAACGATAAGCCTGTGACAGCTATGGCTGTTCAGTCCCACCACTAAGTTTATATTCTGCAGCCTATTTAGCAGTTTGTTGCAACTTGATAAAAACCAATCCCATGAGCCACAGCAGCTACAGGCTTCTACTTCCTCTAGTCTAATGGCTAGTGAAGCTTCAGACCTTGAGGGCTTTGCTTCTAGATGTTTGTGGTGTTAGCATTATATAGAAGCTTATCTTTTTTGGATAAAATTAATGTTTTGCAAGAAGCACAACTTAAGCACCAACTGCCTTAAGCACTTCAGCCACAGCTTAGGTAGGGGGCTCCGGTGGAGTCTTCGGTGCTTTATTTCTGCCCTTTTCCTAGCTCATTCTCAGACTCCGTTTGGTGGCCCCGAGCAGCTCCAGCCTTGTTCCATTCTTGTGCCTAACAGTCATGGGATTGGATCTCATTGGCCAGGGGATGAAATACGGTCACATATCCACTGTTGGGTGCTCGCCCAGACCATTTCTATTAAGTAGAGTATGTCAGTCGAGAAAAGGACATGGGTATAGTACCAGAAGGACGGATGCTGAGTAGGCAAAAAGAAAGCTTTCTACCACAGTTAAATTCCCCTTTTTCACTTTCCAGCAAATAACCCTATGGATCAGGCCCTAAGCCAAAAGAAAGTTAGATGAGGAACTGCATAAATACGCTTACCCAAGGTGGAAAGAATCACCAATATGTATTAATCTAATTTCCCTCACTTCCCTCCACCCCATTGCATGCCTCCTATTGTCATCACTATTTTTTCCATGGAGTTGAATCTGATGTCTTCTTCCATATGGCTGTTTATTAGCTGTATGTCACGGTTTCTTTTTTTTCTTTAGTGTAGGTTTTCTTCCCACTTTCCGGTGACTGAATGAATGTATCTTGGCTTAAGCAGCTCTCAAAAAACCCACAGCAAGAAAGACACATGTGCTGCAAGCCTCCAGCGTGCTTGGGTCTGGGGTGACCCTGTGCATTCCTATAGTGCTTGCTAGAACATTTTGGAACGGTTTGAGGCCTTGCCCTGCTGCATCCGGAGCAAGGTTATAGAAATTTCAGACAATCGCAAAAAAAAAAAAAAAGAAAGAAAGACGGAAACATGTACAGGACCAATTTGTAGCTAAAACCCTGGAGTTGAGGATATTATTTCCTAAGAAAGTGTTTTTGGAAGATTTCTTATTGGTGTTCTGAATCTGTTTCTGTGCACTTGTTCTGAATTTTCCCACATAGGTGACATGCGAAGGAGGGCGGCTCCCCCCAGTTCTCTGATGCACGCTGGCTTTTCTTGCAGGGGTGCAGATTGCCGGAAGGCACGCTGTGGTGATCGGGCGCAGTAAAATAGTCGGTGCCCCCATGCATGACTTGCTTCTGTGGAACCACGCCACAGTGACCACCTGCCACTCCAAGACTGCCAATCTAGACAAGGAGGTAGGGGGTCCAGCGTGGAGTGGAAGATGATGATGATGTGTGTGTGTGTGTGTGTATTTGTGTGTGTGTGTGTATTTGTGTGCATGTGTGTGGTGGCGTGTTCTCACTTAATGGGAACAACTAACATTTAAGTGCCAGAAACTCGTGTACTTTACCTCATTATCTCATTCATCCTAACAATTCTATGATTCTTCTATAACAGTTCTGTGATTCTTGTCTCATTTTGTAAGATGAAAAAACGAATTCACATGGAGCACTTGCCCAAGGTTATGCAGATTTTGTTCTGACTCTATTCTTTCTGTACCAGTCTCCTCTGTGGCAGATAGGGATTGGCAGAGTAAGAACTGGGATTGACTCCTGGCAGCCAGATCCCAAACTGCTAAGAATGGTGGCCTCAGAGATAAAGGTGCTTCGGGGGGAAATGTGTGGACAGAGGTCCCATGACACCCGTCGCAGCTTGTTCTTGCCCCCTGCTTCAGATTCCTGAGCCCAGGGATTCTCATCTGTACACATCCTGTTGACAGTGCAGTCTCTTAAATGTGGAGAGAGCAGGAGAGAGGCCCGGCACCTTCTCTTACAATTGTCGCCAAGCAGCCTTCTGCGGGAGGTGGGAGTTCCCACATTTCACAGGGAGCAGTCTTTGGATATTTTTCATTCAGGACATCATCCTAGGCCTGTGGTTCTTATCAAGCTCCCCATTTGGTAAAGTACCTTTTGGTTCTTATCAGGTTCCCCATTTGGTAAAATACCTTTTGAAAGGGGGGCTTTTGACACGTATAGGAAGGAGCAGAGCATCCAGAGAGCTGTCAGTGAGTGGCCTGCAGAAAATAGCTGATGACGGTGAAAATCTCCCGCAGGGATGGAAGGAATGTCCTTTCCACGTCTAGATTTTTTTATGTTTCGCTTTTAATTTCTGAAGTCAGAATCCTCTCTTCTTAGGTAAATAAAGGTGACATCCTGGTGGTTGCCGTTGGTCAGCCTGAAATGGTGAAAGGGGAGTGGATCAAACCCGGGGCAATAGTCATCGACTGTGGAATCAACTACGTCCCAGGTGAGTGTTGCTGGGGGAGGAAGGTGGGTCTGGTGGAGGGCTGGGCTGAGGAAGATGTCTAGGTCATCAGGTGAAGCCTCAGTGAGAATCCCTGGTCCTGTTTTAGGCTGCAGTGCTGAGGTTCAGTGTGATGGGCCTGCCCATGGGTGCTTGCAGTCAGTAGATGGGACGTCGCTCCTGGCAGGCAGGCAGGCCAGCTTGACGGCAGAACCCGTGGTTTTAGCCGCTGCTGTGCAGCTCCCGAGATGACTTTGTCCAGGGAGAAGACTGCACAGGGGGCAAGAGGGAGGTTTTACACGAAAAAGAAGGAGTTTGACCTCCTTTTTCTAGGCTGAGAGGATAAAGCCTTACAGGCACATCCATAGCTGTCCTTGGCATCCTTCTCCCTAATTCATGCCTCTCCTGTTTTTGTTTATGTTGTCACCATTCTTCCTTCCCACAGGTCTGGACCTTTTCTTTTCCCTCCCAATTATTCCCCTTATTGGATTTATTTTTAAATATTAGATTTTCTCCTCCCTTCTCTGTCCTCAGTGTCACCGTTGAGTGTAACCCTCTCAACTGGATGGACTGCTGTGAATTTCTTACCAGTCTGATGCCCATTCAGATCCATCTGTGTGCTTTTGCCATGTTCACCTTGACACGGGCCCATGAGCCTCCTCGTCCATGTGACTCGTCAGACTCCTTAACCCCGTCCTAGTGGCAGCCTCCTCTGCGGCCTCTTCTCACATGCACTTTGTGAAAACCTGCCTTAAGTTGTTGTAAACGGACCACATGCCCGTCCACACATGCCTTGTTTGTCCTTTGCAGCATCTACACCTGCATCTTCAGTGGAGCAGGCTGTTCTTTCTTCATGGAGTTTTCAAGCATAACATTTGAAAGTACAATACAGTGTGTACCTGTATACATACCTCATAGATTCAAGAAGGAACAATCTTTAATCGAGAGACTGTTTCTCTGCATCAGACACCACCCCAGGCCTTGGGCTACACAAAACTGCATAAACTCAGCTGTGACCTTCACTTTCAACCAACTTCCTCCCCACCTCGTCTCTGTCTGAAATGCCCCTTCTTCCTCCCAAACCTTGCCTGGTTTCCCTTCAACAAGGGATAGTGTCCTCTTTTGACAATCCTCTCTCTTCCTCCCTCCCTCTCTCCCTCCCTCCCTCCCTCCCTCCCTCATTCCCTTCCTCCTCATAAAACTTGTGCTTCTGTTATCATATGTGTCTCATACTTGGTGCCCCGTGGGCTCCTCCACGAGTCAGTCAGCTTCTCCGGGGCAGTGGTCTCTGCGGTGCCCTGTCCAGCGTACGCCTTCTAGCCGCTTGCACCCTATTGTATCTATCGAATTGTTGAAGAGAGTTACAGCAAGAATGATCATTTTTCTCCCTTGCCATCTCAGCTTTGAAATATAGACACTCAGCTGCCAGGAATATTAGTCACTGTCAAGCCTTCACTGTTTTTAACCTGCCTCCCACTCTCCCTACCATGCTTTTAAGACAATAGCTCATAAATGAGCACTAATTTTCTTGTAGCGTAATTATCTAATGGGTGATCGAGAAAGTACTTACCTACAACTCCTCACTTTGAGCATTTGCGACGTGGCATTCACGCTCATTCTCTTCAAAACCTTGCATCTTCTGTGTCATATTTCTGCACTGGGCATTTGTGGGGTGGGGGGGACGACAGGACGACTAGATTTGAGGGAGATGAAGAAACACCTGGGTGGGGATCTTAAGTCTTGCAGTTAGGTAAGAAATTTGCAGATAAGTATGAAATGTGACTTAAACATGAAACTTACCATTCTGCTCACATTTATTCCTTATGTAGATGGTAAAATGTGAATAAGATCAATGCACTATCTTTACTGATCATATAGGTGAATAAATATCAATAAGGCAGGATTTTAATGTCCCCACAAGATGGCAGAATAACTGAGTTGCAGACAATGGGTCTTCATTTTGAAAGCACAGCTGGGTCACTTCTTGGTTCATATTTTGATTATTTAAATCATTTGTGTGGATAACATTATAAGTCACTTGCCAAATAAGAATGAATTAAGGTGTGTGCTTCCCTCCCCCCAACCAAAAAGAAAGGAATATTTTAAAAGTTTCAAGTGCAGAGCAGAAAGAATTGGCCAGAGAAACACATCAAAGTGTTCTTCCTGCTTGGCTTACTAAAGATAATTTGAGAAGGACTAGATCCGTGGTCGGCAAACTGCGGCTCTTTGGCCCCTTGAGTGTGGCTCTTCCTAAGCCTTAGGAGTACCCTAATTAAGTTAATAACAATGTACCTACCTATATAGTTTAAGTTTTAAAAATTTGGCTCTCAGAAGAAATTTCAATCGTTGTACTGTTGATATTTGGCTCTGTTGACTAATGAGTTTGCCGACCACTGGACTAGATTAATAGTAGGTTTTATTTTAAGGGGTTATAAAAAGAGGAACAGATTCCCCACCCTGGCCCAGTCCAATCTCAACTCACCCAGCACAGTGGCTTCTATACTGGACTCTATTATTGGGGGTCCCCAAATTAAATGTGAAGGAGTAAAGTCTCAGCTGGATCTTCAGTTGAATTTTGCCCCTATAATTCCCAATGAAAGAGACGTTCTAGGCCCCGGGGTATTTAACCAAGATGTTTGTTGGTTACTAAATCCATTCACTCACTTAGATTGAGAAGTGGTCGCTTTTTCCACCGACCACATCAGACTGTCCACGAAATACTATACAGACATCAGAGGGCACTCAAGTCAACCCTGTTTGATTAACTAGCAACACTGAGCTCTTCCAGTGCAGCATTTGGTTGTGCAGTACATGACATGTCTCTTACATATTGAGAAACATGAAGAAAGTGACTCACATTGATAATAGTTAATAATAATTAATAGAAAGAGGTGTTGGGGTTTGAAGCTAGCTTCAGCGTTGGACTATTGAAACCTGTACAAAGGACACAACCTTGACAGTATTTGCTTGACCTTTTGAGACGACATTAGTGTTATGAGAGCTGCTGCTTTGTAATCTTCTAGAAACTGTCTGAAGAGTTTTTATTTATCAGCTCCTTATAGTACATAGTGAAAATCTCTTATGTGGCTAGGACAGGAAGAGAAACTCTTGGTAAGAAATTTGCAGAATGCATTTTCAATGTCAAGAATATGCACATTTTTCACTTGATTCTCAGCAAGCTTGTGAAATAAGTAGCATTATCCTTCCTTGCATCTTTGGACTTCTGATCAGTAAGGAGCCCACAGGGTTGAGGACTAGCAGTTAGTGGAAGAGCTGATCCCATAGCCTAGGTTTCTGGTTTCTGGCCTTTTGGCTATACAGGTAAGCCCTCAGTTAATATGGTCTGTCGGTTCTTGGAAACTGTGACTTTAAGTGAAGCAATGTGTAACGAAACCAGTTTTACCATAGACTAATTGATACAAATAAGAGTTAAGTTTCTGTGGCATATTTTTGGTCACAAAAATATCACCTAACTTCTAAATAAAGACTGAAACACTTCTAATATTAAACATCAAGATAAATGCGAGCTATACATACATTTAAGAAAGATGAATAAAAACAAGGAAGATCATTCTTTTCCAGCCCACTTCTTCCAGTTCAGGATCATACAGCTCAGGGTGCAAGGAGGGAACCAGCCCTGGACAGGACCCCTCCCATTGCAGGGCGCGGCACACTCACGCAGTGGGGCGAGTTCTTTTCTCATTGATGTTGAATGAAATGACATTATTTGAGGACCTGCTGTACTCTGAAGCATCCTCTCTCATTGTGGTGCTCCGATCAAAGAGAGGTCGTGAAAGGGCTACGATCCTACCAGATCCTGCCTGGGAGCCTTAGCGCTGCAGGGCCTGGCCCTGTCCGCCAGCCCCTCCCCAAGTACACTGAAGCCAAGTGGGGATGCTTTCTGTGTGCGTGAGCAATGATGCATCACTGGGCTTTGTTCCCTTGAATAGCTATTCTTTGCTGGTAAGAATTGTAGTTATTCTTGTATCCTTTTAAGGGAAGTGTAATTATATTATTTGCCTCTTGCATACATTTAAGTAGCTGCTCATCTTTGGAATTGGATGTTGAATTGTTCCTCCATCTCATGCATGGAGCTTACAAAATGCTGACAGTTGCTGTAGAAACGGTATCTGGCAGCTGTGGCATAGTTGGAGGTTTGTGCACCCAAAAAAATTTCCTTTGTAGGCCTTGGCAAATTAACATTTTAAAAGGAGCTCATTATAAATTGGATAGTTGGCTTTAAGAGTAAAAAACAGTTGGTATTTTATTTGTCACTTGACAGACTACAAAAGGATTCTTTTGGTTCTGAAAAACCACTTAGGCAGCGTGTGAATTTTTGCAGGTAAAATAAGTCTTTCCCTAGGAAATAGCAAACACCTGTCATCCCATAGCTTTTAGGTAAAGTGGGCACTTGAGCCAGATGGGACTACACACCCTAAACTTTACTTAGTTTTTGGAATAAGCGGTCATAGTTGATCACTTAATTTAGAAATAAACACCAGGATTACGTTCTGACACTTTGCTTTGATGTTTCCCTCCCCCATGACCAGATGATACTAAGCAGAATGGGAGAAAAGTTGTGGGCGATGTGGCATTCAGTGAGGCCAAAGAGAGGGCGGGCTTCATCACTCCTGTTCCCGGTGGCGTCGGGCCCATGACGGTGGCAATGCTAATGCAGGTGCGTTTGAATCAAGGTTTCTATAATAGTTCTAGGAAACTGGTAGAATTCAAGTTACTGCTCTTCTCCCCAAGTAGAAATGTCATAAAACCTGCTCAGAAGCTAAGGAATGATATGAATCTGTGGAAGAAAAAAAAAAGGGGAATGGAAGAACAGAGAAATAGAATCAGTCATATGAGTAGAGGGAAGTAGGGAAGGCACAATTCTACTTTACTGTGGAATAACTTAAGGGAGAGAAAGTGCAAACACTGACTTTGCTAAATAGGATTTGGCTCTCTTGCCCTTTTTAACCCACGCCAGCTGATAAGGGGAGAGGCAAGCAGCCCAGAATGGAAGCATGTGAATAGATGGAGCATGAAGGTGTTCATTTTGATTGCACTTGAGTTATCCAGAATTAAGAGTTGAGGTGGAGGTTGAAATAATCACCTCTCTTAGGTTCTATTTATATTTTGGGGTTTTTTGGTTTTTTTTTAGAGCACAGTAGAGAGTGCAAAGCGTTTTCTGGAGAAATTTAAGCCAGGAAAGTGGCCGATTGAGCATAACAAGCTTAACCTCAAGACACCTGTTCCAAGGTAAAAATGAAGTTTTACAGGTTTAAAACTTTGTGGGTTGTTGATTTGTAGCCATGGCTACACGTATATTTACCCCTTCTGAAAGTACCATCAGTGGTTGGGGTGGGTCATGACTAGGCTGGGATTAATACCTTCCATGAATAAAGATGGATTTACCTTTCCTATATTTCTTTTAAGTGACATTGACATATCCCGATCCTGCAAGCCAAAGTCCATCAGTAAGCTGGCTCGAGAAATTGGTCTGTTCTCTGAGGAGGTGGAATTGTACGGTGAAACCAAGGCCAAAGTCCTGCTGTCAGTGCTGGACCGCCTGCGGCAGCAGCCCGACGGCAAATACGTGGTGGTGACTGGGTGCGACTTCTATTCATTTGCCAATCATATCTTAGTATTAATCCTGATTATTATCACCAGGGGTTGCATTTGCACTTAGCATGTATGTGTGGAGGTTCCTTTACTTTGGTTTTAGCATTTTCACAGGTATTTTTATTTTAAATATATTTTTATTGATTTTAGAGAGAGGAGCGGAGAGGGAGCGAGGGATAGAATCATCCTGATGAGAGAGAATCATGGATCAGCTGCCTCCTGCATGCCCCCTATTGGGGATTGAACCTGCAACCCCGTTGCATATGCCCTTGGCCAGAATCGAACCCAGGACCCTTCAGTCCACGGGCCGACACTCTATCCACTGAGCCAAACCAGCTAGGGCATTTCACAGGTATTTTTATCTAATTTGATCCTTATAGCCACACTGTGAGGTCAGAGTAGATTATAACCTTCAGAGATGAGAAAATTTGTCAAGTTATTCGTCTAGTAAGTGAAAGAATTGGATCTTAAAACCTCGTCTTCATATGGAATTGCTTTTTCTTAACCCCAAATTCATTAATTCGTTACCTCTATTGAGCATTCGTTTTTATTGCTGGGCTGAGTTACATATAAAAGCTAGTTTTTGAGACTAGGTTGAGAAATTTAAATCATAGTAGTGTCTTTCTACAAGGTAAAGTGTATTTCTCCTTACAGTGAGAACAGCTAAAGCACAGCAGTGTTTTTTGATTTAAAATTAGGGGAAGTTACAACCAAGACTCCTAAGACCTTTTTCGGGTCTTTCGTCTTCTTATTCAGGTTAGGAGTCATTCTCTAGGATCTGTTAGATCTGACTTAGTGATTCACATCAGTTTAATCCCCCTAAATGTAACTTTCCTCTTTTGCTTTCATCGTGAAGAATAACTCCAACGCCCCTGGGAGAAGGGAAAAGCACCACCACAATTGGGCTGGTGCAAGCCCTCGGCGCCCACCTCCATCAGAACGTCTTCGCGTGTGTACGGCAGCCTTCTCAGGGCCCCACCTTTGGAATTAAAGGTATCCCTGGGAGTAGACCGTGGGTGGCCAGAGGACACCTGCCTCTCCCTCAGTCTTCTCTGGCCCTCTTGACCCATGAATGCTCACGGGGCCCTCGGCTTTTTAGACGTTAGGAATGTCTTCCTCACACCCACCTATCGTGGTGCTTTTGGTGAAGGCTTTCATCGGATCACCCCAGCGCCTGCTCCTGCTGTCACTGTGTGACACTGCACAGGGACTCCTGGGATGAGTACTATGTAGGCAGAGGTGCTTTTGTATGACTAATCATCAGTTGTCATGGTAACAATAAAGGTAATCAGTCACCATGCTGACTTTCTAGAGACATAGACAAACCCTACAGATGTCTCACCCTGTGGGAATAAGAAAAGCCTACCCTGCTTGAGAATGTGCTTTATACCAGCTTTTGTGCTAAGCAGTGTATGTGTTTTATTTTATTTTCTAATGTAAGACAGTATTATCTCCATTTTGCAATAGCAGCAACTGGGACTTCAGAGGCAACTGGGTCAAAGGCACTAATCTTAAGTACCAGAGTGGGCCCCATGTCTATTTCAAACTCTAAAACAACACCATCAACAGTGTTTCATCTGATTGCATGAAAACACGATGTCCGTCATCGTACGTCACCTTCAGTTTTTGATAGCTGCAGTGCTGTAGACAGGTTCTTTTAATTAAAATTATTTTCATTAATTATAATTAAGTACAATCCTATTGGCTCAGTGATAGGGCATCACATATTTTGCCTGTTCTAATGATTTCTACTAATGTTAATTCGGGGTGCCATCTTTGCTCCTGTGCCTGTTGTTTTGATCTGTTTCATAAATGTGCTGACTTAGCTCTGCTTTTGAGCTTGTCTTAACTCCCTTACATTTGAATGAGCCTTTTTCCTTGTTCTACTTATTGAACCCAATATTCTCCTTTTCCTCATATCACAAACTGCCCCATTTTCATTGCATGGTCTCTTCCTCACCAAGAAATAAAATTTAAAAATCCATCTCAAGCTGACATTTATCTCACTGATAACTTGAAACCTGGATATTTTTTTGACTGGCCTTTGGTTATTATTCCAGATACGCCAGCAAAAATCTAGCAGTTAACCTGTTTCCTAATGTGTGTCTCCTACTTAGGAAGAATTGTAGTCTCTGTGTTTGGTGTGTATTTTAAATATTCCCCTTTTTAAAATGCCAGAGGGGTGTTTATGAGAGTGGAAAACTGAACAGGTTTGCCTTTATGTAACTATAGGCTGGGACTTCTAACAGATGTTAGGAATCACAAGGAACCTGTTTCTAAAGATAATACTAGTAAGTCGGTATGTATGTGTTCATCAACTCAGATTTCAGTTGAGAGGCTGTTCAGCACAAGAAAGATCGAGTGTTTCAGCTTGTAGACAAAAATTAAAGACACTGATCAAATCCGTCCAAATGGTTGTAGAAAGTAAATAAATAATATGTGTAGCAGTTATGAAATCGATTTGGTTTCCTCTGTGGAGAAACATGCCTAACATGAGCCTCACCCTTGACCTGTCCTCTAGGTGGCGCTGCAGGTGGTGGCTACTCTCAGGTCATTCCTATGGAAGAGGTAACGTGTCCTGGGATTTGGTTGACTCAGACCCTTTATTATGGCTTTTCCTTCTAGAAATTAAGCTTTACTGTAGAGGTCTTAGTGGACAAATGACTTATTTCTCAGCAGAAGTGACACTTAAGGAAAAAGCATCTTAATTTACAAAGTTGTGAGGCAGCTTCGGTTTTTTGACATGATAAGGACTTCAAAGTCTGGCTTTCACGGGGTATTAATAATTTTAAGCAAGTGATCAAATGAAGCATGAGATTGAGAAGAACCAACATAGAGTAAATTCAGAGTAATAACTGCAGAAACGGGAACAGTGTACAGGCATAGAGTTGGGTTGCTCCATTGTACTCCTTGCTCACTGTTTAAAGGACATGACATGCCGTCAGTAACTCAGTGTTGCTGTTGATCCCGGTGGGATGGTGTTTGTGGTCCCTGGACATGTCACTTAGGGGAAACCACAGTTTCTTCTGAAGACAGTAATTTATGTATTCAAGATCTGCCTGTATCGGGGCTTTGTCCACTAGCTGTGCTGCCATCAGCTGTCCATTGGCTTTGACATGGGGATTGATTTGGTGCGAATAGAATGGATGTTGGAAAGTTAGAAGACTGATGTGGCTTCTGCTCTTTCCCAGTTTAATCTGCACCTCACTGGTGACATCCACGCCATCACTGCAGCTAATAACCTCGTTGCCGCGGCCATCGATGCCCGGATGTTCCACGAACAGACTCAGACGGACAAGGTAGGCACGGAGGTCCCATGGGCACTTTTGAAAGGGTTCAAGCACCTGAATTAATGTTGGTCCCTTGGATGCTAGTGATACAGGTAGCAAAGCAATGGAGTTCATTTAAAAGCCCCTTTCCTCCTTTTCTTTCAGGCTCTCTTTAATCGTTTGGTACCATCAGTAAATGGAGTGAGAAAGTTTTCTGATATCCAAATCCGAAGGTTACGGGTAAGCTTTCCCTTTTTCATTTTTGATATTGTATGACACTGAGTAAATGATAAGAAGCAGAGATCTCCTTAGAGTCACCTATGTTGGGTAAAGTTACCTGCATAACCATAGTCTTAAGAGCGTAATCGACATAACAAAGACTGGCAGTAGAGGTTATTTCCCATTTACCTATAAGTTATAATTGGTTATCCTGAAATAAATAAAGCACTGACAACCTGCCCTCAGCTACAAAAGCTGACACCTCCTTTGTAGCATGGATAGGAGTCAGGAGGCCAGCATGGCAGCATAGAGGCTTCTGAAGTTTGAATCTCTGCTCTTCCCAGTACTGAGACTTTAAGCAAGAATGGTTATTTCTCTATCTTGAGTTTCTATAAAAAATATATAGTCATTAAATATACACTATACCAACCACATAGCCAGAAATCTCACTCCTAGGTATTTATCCAAGAGAAATACAAACTGTGTTCATACAAAAGCATGAATGTTTTTAGCAGCTCTATTTAAAAATCTCCAAAATTGAAAAACAACCCAAAGGTCCTTCAGTGGATGAGTGGATGAACAAACTGGCACATCTATATATATAAAAGCCTAAGCGACCTTTACGACCAGCCAGTAGCTATGATGCACACTGACCACCAGGGGGCAGTCGCTCAATGCAGGAGCTGCCCCCTGGTGGTCCGTGAGCTCCCACAGCCAACCTCTCATGGTCCCTCCCCCAGTCGGCCCATTGGCCCTGATCGCCAGCCAGGCTGAGGGACCCCACCCGTGCACCGGGCCTCTAGTCTTACAATAAAAAGGAATGAACATTACATTCCTTGTGTGTGTTATCAACAGTAGTTATATTCTCACTTTATTTTTAATTTTTACAGCTTGATTTTTTTTTAAAATATATTTTATTGATTTTTTACAGAGAAGAAGGGAGAGGGGTAGAGAGTTAGAAACATCAATGAGAGAGAAACATCAATCAGCTGCCTCCCGCACGCCCCCAGTGGGGATGTGCCCACAACCAAGGTACATGCCCTTGACCGGAATCAAACCTAGGACCCTTGAGTCCGCAGGCTGACGCTCTATCCACTGAGCCAAACCAGTTTGGCATAGTTTGATATTTTGATGCTGTAAGAAGAACACATGGAGCTCCCCTTTATCCAGAAGCATTAATTGTTTACATTTACTCTACTTACTTTACAGTTCTGTCACTATGCATGCATTTTTTCCTAGACTTGGAGAAAAGTGTATTTTACATAGTACAATGTTCTTTAGCTTATTTTGTTTTTACATCCACCCCCCCACCCCCCACAATCCTATGCATCAGGTAAGGCAGTTACTACCCTATTTATAAAAGAGTTGTGTTCTGTGGGGCAGCAAAATACCATGGAAAGAGCCAGCAACTTTTAATCTTGCCTTTGTTGGTGGAACTTTCTGTTAGCTGTAGGGAGGTGCAGGACTAAATTGTTTTTTATTTTTATTATTTTTTTTATTGTTTTATTGCTTAAAGTATTACAAAGGGTATTACATATGTCTCCTTTTTTCCCCCGCCCTTGTAAATTGTTTTTTAATTGATTTTGTTTTGAGAGAGAGGAAGGGAAGAAACAGAGACAGAGAGACAGAGACATCAGATGTGACAGAGAAATACCAATTGGTTGCCTCCCATACGCACCCTGACCTTGGTCCCAAATCTAGGTTTGTGCCCTGACCAGATATCAAGCCGGCAATCTTTCGGTGCATGGGATGATGCTCAACCAACTGAGCCACACTGGCTAGTAGTGTTTTAATAGCAAATTTACAGGAATAGCACAGAAGACAGATACTAAAAACAGGACAACTCAGAAAAGTACAGTGAATGGATGGAATCTACTATTTGATAAAAAAAAATGCTATAAATACCATTTACTGGTAGTTGCCATCAGTAAGAAATTTACTTGTTTTTTAAAAATCCAAATGCTGGCATTGTCCAGAAAAATTTAACAGGTTTATTTATATTGTTATAAAGTTGAACTGCTAAAACTTGTTCACTGAAACATTTTGACTTGCATTAATGCTTTATGTCCCCACATTTATATTAAATGATCCTTTAAAAAGCTCTAGGATTTGCTCTGGCCAGGTGGTTCAGTTGATTGGAGTGTCATCCTGTATACCAAAGGTTGCAGGTTCGATTCCCAGTCAGGGTACATACTTGGGTTGTGGGTTCAATGCTGGGTCAGGGCATGTACCGAGGCAACTAATTGATGTTTCTCTCTCACATCAGTGTTTAACTGGGCTTCTCAATTGTCTGACTGAAAAGTTTTGCACCTTGTTTGGGGTTGTTGAATTAGCCACAACGCTTCTTGGTCACTGCTTATTTAGGGCTAGGTTTAGGAAAATGCCTCTGGTGCTCAATTATTGGGACAAACATGTTAATTTTTCTTTAATCCTCACCCAAGGATATTTTTCCATTGATTTTTAGAGAGAGGGGAAGGGGGGTGGGGCAGAGAAACATCGATGTGAGGGAGAGACATTGATTGGTTGCCTCCTTCAGGGCCCCTGACCATGATCTTGTCTGCAGTTGAAGTACATGCCCTTGACCGGACTTGAACCTGGGACCCTGCAGTCTGAGGGCTGACGCTCTGTCCACTGAGCCAAACCAGCCGAGGCCAAACATTTTAATAATATTTTGTACACATGTGACTAGTAATTCAGCGCTTAGCAAAGGGGATCATAGTTTTCCCTTCTGAATTTAACACGGTTTCTATTTCCGAGAGGAGACCCTATCTGGAGACAGGGAATCAAAAATTTTTTAATTTATTATGCTTTTGTTTGGTTTGTGTTATGTTTTAATTTTACTGCCTCTTCAGAGACTAGGCATTGAAAAGACCGACCCTACCACACTGACAGATGAAGAGATAAACAGATTTGCAAGATTGGATATTGATCCGGAAACCATAACTTGGCAAAGAGGTACGAGAGCCATATACACGCCCCCTCTGCTTTGGTTATACTGCACACGCCACGCCCTCTGTAAGGGTTGTTAACATGTGAAGTCTGGAAGCTTGCGTATTGATATTTTTATGGTTAAGACATGACCAAGATGATGACTTACTCATTTTTCTGGCCACCTCCATCCATCTCTCTCCTTATTAGCTGTATTCAAACCTCCTTTTCTTGGGCAAGTTGGACGTTTGCTGACTATTCAGTGTTGATTGGAGTGAGGGTGGTTTCAAAGAAGTTCATGCATAAACCAAAAATAACATTTTGCAAGTTTTATTTTATGAAAAAGTTTTAGTGTCATGAAGTAGAGAAATTACGTTCAGTCACTTCTTGAATCACGTTGGCCTTTGTTCTCAGAACCCTTGTCTGGCATAAGTGACTTTATTTTTCTTGCAACTCTCTAGCTTGCCTACTCAGTTCACCTCTTTTTTTTTTTTTAATGTATTTTATTGATTTTTTTACAGAGAGGAAGGGAGAGAGAGATAGAGAGTTAGAAACATCGATCAGCCGCCTCCTGCACACCCCCCACTGGGGATGTGCCCGCAACCAAGGTACATGCCCCTGACCGGGATCGAACCTGGGACCTTTCAGTCTGCAGGCCGACGCTCTATCCACTGAGCCAAACCGGTTTCGGCTCAGTTTCACCTCTTTTTATTATACTCTGTTATAACAAAGTAGGTAGCCTTCAAGGTTCAAACATGCAATTTAGTGAGTTGCCTGGCTTCACTGCCATATGTTGCTTTTCTCTATGTACAACTAGCCCAGCTTAGAGTTTTATTTTGTACCAAGAGTGCATCCATCTACCCTGGATCACTACTGGGAAGGAATTTTCATCGTCATGCGGAATGCAACTGACAGCCAATTTATTGACTGTTTTGTGATTTTCATTGGCTCAGTAACTGTTCTAGCTAATGGCATTTTTAAGATGACTCTCAGCATATAAAAACACTGATGTTTCTCTTTTTTTTTGCTTCAATAGCTTTAGACAGATAGTATAATATTTTATGAGGAATAAGCTAAAGATCCACTTTGAAAATTTAGTATCTCATTCACTTTTCCTTTGCTTTAATGTCTAATTTATGTTTTCTAAGAAAGCAAAAGCAGACCAGGGTGGGGAATGGATTTTACCTGTTGACTGGCTATTTTATGCAGAGAAATTAGATACAAGGAACTTGACACTATATATTTTTTAAAATAAGGGTACGCTTTAACAACACATTATATCCTTCGTTTAGCAAGTGGGCGGCAGTGTTTGAGTGTGTGTCCCTCTGAGTGCTGTACAAAACTGCTTTGGGTGTTTATTAGTTTTTATAGAAAATAATTTGGCATGTTATCAAGTGTCTTAAAAATGCCTCTCCTCTTTGACCCATTAAGAGTGTAATTAGCGCATTGTTGTTCTTTTTTTTCCCCTCCTTTTTATTGAATTTATTGGGGTGACACTGGTTAACAAAATTATTAGGGTTTCAGTGCACAATTCCACAACACGTCATCTGTACACTAGTATTGTGTGTTCACCACCCCAAGTCAAGTCTCCGTTTTGTATTTTGTTATTGTTTGACGCGTCATACAAAAAAAGAACATTGGACATACACTGAAATGTTAACAGTAATTTGTCCTGGGAGACGGAAGTAAGACTAGTTAGCTGGTTGATCTTTGTCATGTTCTCCAAGGTTATACAATTGGATAGCTATTCTGTCATCTGAAGGGAGGTGATTCTTCTCAGCGTGCTGAAGGGAAGAGCAGGCCTGTTACCCAGCATGCTTCTAAAGGCATTTGCCTGGCCCTGCGCTCATGGCCCTTGTGTTTCCCAGGATGGTGTAAGACCAGTGAGTCATCCCGCAGAACAACACAGACCTCTGCCTTTTGAAAACTGTGGCCTGCTGTTTTTCTTGTAAGCTCGAATATGCTTTAAAATAGGTTCCAGATTCCTAGTTGTTTGAGTTATCTAGACAGAATAAAACCAAGCCAGTCCACACTTGTTTCTTTAAAAATAACTCCTGTAGCCCTAACCGGTTTGGCTCAGTGGATAGAGCGTCGGCCTGTGGACTCAAGGGTCCCAGGTTCGATTCCGGTCAAGGGCATGTACCTTGGTTGCGGGCACATACCCAGTAGGGAGTGTGCTGGAGGCAGCTGATCGATGTTTCTCTCTCATCGATGTTTCTAACTCTCTATCCCTCTCCCTTCCTCTCTGTAAAAAATCAATAAAATATATATTTAAAAAAAACAAAACTCCTGTACACTTACTATATATGTACATCATGTCTTAATTTGAACCCATATTCTAGCTTTGCCATTTGATTTGAAATCAAATGTTAATAGATGGGCATTAAGTTGGACTTGTTGCTCTACAACTTGGCTGGTTCCTTTAACTTCATCGTCCTTTTACTAGCATTGTCCTGTGTCTTCCCTTTCTGCTGTAGTGTTGGATACCAATGATAGATTCCTGAGGAAGATCACAATTGGACAGGCTCCGACGGAGAAAGGTTACACACGGACGGTAACTGTTTGTTCCTTTCTAAGTAAATTAGTTCCAGTGAGCCATATCCTTGCTCCTTCTGTCCTCCTCCATCCGCTCCCACCCGACTGGTACTGCCAGGTGCTTTTCTGCCTGTTCCTTTTAAAGTGGAAGCGAATAGGTGTGTGGGATTGAGCACTCCTGACAGCTTTTGCAGTACATCCTATGTGTCACCTGTGTGTTTTTTTCCCCGGGCATTTTTTCCTGGAGGTGGAGACCCAAGTGAATATCAGTGCACACAAATTGATTAAAAATGTGGCCATTTTGCAGTATGTCTCTTTGGTGTAAGAGCTTCCGGGTTGTATTTTAGGGAAACCATAACTACAAGCTGCTTTCACAGGACTGTCCTACTAGAATATTTATTTTAAAGATTTGACTAATCAAGGTCTTGGAATAATTACAGATTTTTTCTGTTGGGGAGAACTATTTTCATTAAGTTCTCTGTGTATTACTGTTATTCTACCCATTTAAGCTTTTGTTTAAGCTGTGGATGCAAACAAGGATTACTTTTGCAGTTCACTGTTGTGGTTTAACAAAGTTTTCCCTGTTGTGTCTCTTTCCTCCCAACAGACCCAGTTTGATATCTCTGTGGCCAGTGAAATCATGGCTGTCCTGGCTCTCACCAGTTCCCTGGAAGACATGAGAGAGAGACTGAGCAAAATGGTGGTGGCATCCAGCAAGAAAGGGGAGCCCATCAGTACCGAAGACCTGGTAGGTACCCCACGTATGGGCCAGATAGGATTTTGTTGCTGACAAGGTAATTAGGGAATTTATAAAATGTACTTCATGGTGAGTAATAGGTAGTATGCTCCAGTTATAGGCCACAGGTTTCAGATGGTTTGAGCAACATGTTCAACCTCAGTATTCACAGAAGTGGGTAGATGGCTTCAGTTTGCAGAGGGCACCAGAGTCCGAGTGCGGCCCTTAGTTGCTGAGCTTGGGGTCACACCCTGGCCTCTCCCCATGACACCTCCCTACACAGAGGCCACTTGTCATGAGTTTGTTGGCTGCCACTGTATCCACGCTGATAAACACATTGGGAATAATTCATTATCCAGTTATCTGATGGTCCTACAAGGCTAGTTCTCTACTTCAGATTTATTTCTGAACTGTCTACATGATAATATGAGGTTTGAAATGAGATGATCTTATAGATTAAATTTCTTAAATTGATTTTAGAGGAAGGGAGAGAGAAAAATATCAATGTAAAACAGAAACGTTGATTGGTTACTTGTTATATGTGCCCCAACCAGGTACAGAACCCAGGCATATGCCCTGACCAGGAATCCAAACAGCGACCCTTCGGTGCATGGCACAGTGCTCCAACCAACTGAGCCACCCAGGCCAGGGCTAGATTAACTCTTTAAAGGTCTGTTTGTGTTGACATACACCAGTATGGTTGGCCTATGATTAAGCAAGCAGTATGTCAATATGAACTCATTCCAATGAACCAGATCCTTGGGGGAAAACATTAGCATCCTCTTTTCACAGTTAGTATGTGTAAAAAAAGAAAATTGTTTTAAATTTTTACACCCAAAGCAGAAACTTCAAAACTCATAAAAGTGAATATAAATGGGGTCTATAATTTTATTTTACTTTGTCACCAGTTTTTTCAGTTGTGGTTGGAGGGCTTAGAAGAGGGACCTGGTATTTAAGATTTGGTATTGAATTCCTGGGTAAATTCTTAGTTTTTCCACATACTGAATTTGGTTTGTGGCCACTTCTGCCCAGACACCAAAGTTACAAATAATTCATTACTCAGAGAACTACCATCTGCATGTGTAAACTAGATGGATTCCCCTCGTCCAGCAGCAACAGAGCTTGATTGAGATGCTTGTTTCCAGAGTTACGCTTTTTCCAAGAATTACATGTGAATGTCATTTTTATTCTAGCTGTTCTCTCTGCTTAAAATAACTGGCAAATTCAGAGTATATCCAGAAAAAAATAAATAACTGAATGGTCTAGTTCAGGTAGAACTACTAATTGGTCTAAGACGACTAAAAAAGGAAGATCTAAGAGTGCTGAATTTTGTGTTAGAAGGTTGGTTTTTTGCTGGTCGGAGTGAACACATCGCGCCTTCATTTTACAGGGGGTGAGTGGGGCACTGGCCGTGCTCATGAAGGACGCGATCAAGCCCAACCTCATGCAGACACTGGAGGTGAGCAGAGTGGCGCCAGCCTTTCGGATCAGTTTTCTGTGTCCACACTTTCCTTGGGGAGTCAAGACTTTTCTGCCTGCTCGTCTCTCCCCATTCTTCCTCGGGGTTGCAGTTGGGACATTGCTGTCATAAAGAGGCAGCTTCATGTTTAACTTTCGGGATGTCTTTTTCTTTGGGATTCCAACTAACTTTCCTCTTGATTGTGGGATCCGTTTCGAAGCAGGATTCCCAGATTCACTGTCGTGGTTTCCACAGGGCACTCCGGTATTTGTTCATGCTGGACCGTTTGCCAACATCGCACACGGAAACTCCTCTATCATTGCAGACCGCATTGCACTCAAGCTTGTTGGGCCTGAAGGATTTGTAGGTGAGTCTTTTTGCACAGTCAGTGAATAGATGTTTTTTTGTTTGGTTTGGTTTTTTTTAACATCAGGGGAGTTATAATAGCATTTTGACAGTTGCTTTTCTCCTTACTTACAGTGACGGAAGCAGGATTTGGAGCAGACATTGGAATGGAAAAGTTTTTTAACATCAAGTGCCGGTATTCCGGTCTCCGCCCTCACGTGGTGGTGCTTGTTGCCACTGTCAGGGCTCTTAAAATGCACGGAGGTGGCCCCACGGTGAGGATCAAGAGTAGGAAGAGTCCACCCTGGTCGGTAGCTCAGTAGTTAGAGCATCAGCCTGCAAACTGAAGAGTCTCAGGTTCAATTCCCAGTCAAGGGCACATACCTGGGTTGCAGGTTTGATACCTGACCCCAGTTGAGACTTGTGTGGGAGGCAACCAAGCAACCAATCTCTCTCTCTCTCTTTGCCTCTCCCACTCCCCTCCCTCCCTCCCTTCCACTCTCTCCAAAAGTCAATGGAAAAAATATCCTTGAGTGAAGATTAACCAAAAAAAAAAGAGAGTAGGAAGAGTCTGATTGTCAGGAATAATCTGAAGGCTAAAGGGAAGCTTCATGGCTTGTGCCTGTTTCTTCATTAGCAGCTCTTATCTTCATGATTAATAGTGTCAGAAGCAAGGGATGTTCAGGCCGGCAGCCTCTTATCACTCGGCACGACCAGCTCTCAGCATTTTCAGAGGGCTGGAATTGGCGTCATGGCCTACCTTTCTGAGGAAAACATCTGATAATATCTAAATGCCTCCAAGGACATGTGCTTGCTATTCCCTCAAAAAATTCCTTTATGGTCAGACTGTTCTTTTAAAACATGTCCCATTTTTCCTCCAAAGAGTGACACTGGCAGCCAGCCCACGGAACTACTTAGCTGAGACGGGTCAGCCCTTCTGGGGAGGTGCACGCCGGAGGGGACCACCAGCATCCTGCGGTGGGTGGGGAGAGGGAGATGCTCGAAGATGCTCGCTCGGGACTGCCTGTGGGCAATGCAAACAGGTTAGGACTGGGCTATTTCACCTCCAACCTGAACCTTGTGTTTTCTCGAGTCCCTATGGGTTGGAAATTTCACTTTACATCCTGTTATTGTAGCACCTCTCTTTGGCACTTACATGTGAAGACATGGTGCTGGTGTTCATAAATTACTTGAATTCAATTCCCGTCCTAGGAGCTGGTCCTCTAACTTGAGAAAGAAGACCTCCCTCCCCTACAGAACAAAAGCAGTGTTTCTTAGTGTAGTGGCCACTACAGCAGTTCTTCTCAAACCTTTGGTCTCAGAACTTCTTTATACCCCTAAAAATGAATGAGGGCCTGAAAGAACTTTTATTTAGGTGGGTTATATCTATTGATATTTATTACATGAGGAATTAAAGCTGAGTTAATATTAACATAAATTTTTTTTATTTTTTTAATGAAAAGTTACTGTATTTTTCCAAAACAAAATTCAGGTATTGTACATTTTTCAGATCTCTTCAGTATCTGGTTTCGTTGAAGGCCACTGGATTCTCTTCTTCTGCATATGATCTTTTGTGATATCCCATGTCCCATAGTCTTTGGAAAAGTCGGTTATATACTCCATGAGAGAGAAAGAGTGAAAATGGTATAATGTCTTAGAATTATTGTGGAATAGTCTTGACCTTGGAGACCCCATGGAAGGATTAGGTCTCCAGGCCTCACTGTGAGAACCGCTGCCATAGCACGGCCCCCACCTCTCCAGTTTTGCTTGTTGTCCCTGAGGTACAAAGCACCCCTAGCCCAGGACGCCCCTTTCTGCTAGCAGTGCAGCATGGCTTGACTCCCTTTTCCTTCCCAGTTATAACCAACATTTCTCTCTTGCACCCCTGCACTCATCCTCACAACTTTGCACCTTCATTTCCTTTCTCCTCATCTCATGGTCTAAAAAATATGCCGGGCCCTTAACCTGGGCAGCACTGAGGAGGGTTGTATACACACACCTCTGCCAAGGAGCCAGACCTGCTGCTCACATTCCCTCGTGGGGCTACGTATGAGGCCAGAACGAGGTGGCTCGGGTCCCTGCTTCCAGCCCCACCTCTTCGTGACCCCTTGTGGAGTTGGAGCACTGTAGTCTCTGAGGAATGGGAGCAGTCCAAGCTGAAAAACGGAAGGCTTCTTAATCACTGCCCATGGCCCGCAGTGGGGTTCCTGGACCAGCACCTTCACCCCCATGCTCAGCCCTGTGGGTGCAGCAGGGCCAGGCCACCAGGTGCCTCTCTAACAGTGAACGTATGGCTTACGTATCCTGAGACCTTAAAGTACACTGATCAAGGAAGAGAACCCGTGTGTGTTGTTTCCCTCCTGTTGGTATTGCTCCTGCATCCCGGTTCAGATCCACAAAGGCATGGGTTGGCTCTGCAGACCAGCTCATGGTCGCAGCACAGGGCTTGTCACAGACTCCATTGGCGGGCATGTCAGGGTGGCCTTCGGAGGACTGACGGCTGCCTTTTCTCTGTACTAACCTTCACTTCCACCCCTCTGCTGTGGGCATCACTGAGATGTTATTGCCCCTGACTAGACTACATCCTCCTTCCCCCCCACCCCTGTAGATGCATCCTTTCTCACCACCGACGTTTAGGCCACAAAGGTCCACTCTTCTCAAAGCAGCCGTTTTTGTTCTGTGCTGTAGGATTGGTCATATGTCCTAAATCCTTAGGGCAGGAAACACCCTAAACTGTCCTATATCCCCAAGCCTGCAGCTCCTGGCCTTAACACATGGCACATGCCAGTTTAAGCTGATATTTAATTGTAAATAGAAAATGCCTCTGACTTTCTTCCTTTCCTTCCAGGTTACTGCCGGACTGCCTCTTCCCAAGGAGTACATAGAGGAGGTAACTCCAATCATTTCTAATTATTTGACCTAGAAAGCACCACTGGCTGAATCAGCGTATCTCAACCGGCTCCTTTGGAGATGAGTGGAGCTATCACTCTGACCCAGGCTTGCTCCCAGGAATGCTGAAAGGCTGCAGTGTGCCGAAGAATTGGATTAAATGCAGTAGGGAAGAAGTGCCTCATAGAACAGAATTGCCCCACATAGGATACCAGTAAAACCACTGCCCTCGATCAGCGGTGGTTTCTCAAACTGGGAGCAATTTTATTTCCAGGGGATGCTTGACAATGTCTAGAGACATTTTTTATTATAATAACTTGTGGGGAGTGCTACTGGAATTCAGTGGGTAGAGACCAGGGATGCTGCCAAACATCCTTCAGTGATGCACAGGGCAGCCCCAACTACAAGGAATGCTTTGGCCCAAAATGTTAGAAGTGATGAGGTTGAGAAACCCTGCTCCAGACTGTTGGAAGTTTCTTTGTCTTCCCTGGACTGGCCGGGTGGATTACCAAATGCCATTCCAATCAGAAGCAAACACAAGGACCTTTTTAGGGATGTCTTTTCTTCTGCAGCACCCTGGTTATTTTTCTAGGCAAAATTTCCATTTGGTTTGTAGCGTCAAGCAGGAGCTCAAACAGTTGTGAGCTTGAACCTTTTCATATTTATGTCATTTACCATCAAAGAAACATCTCCAGAGTCAGTGTGGGGTGGTTATGAGAGAGGCCCTCGAATGAGATAGTAAGGTCAGCCGCTATCACTAATTCAAATTTTCTGATTTTTTTTTGGAAACTTAAATTATCAAGCAATACAGGTCACTGTTTAGGCTCCAAATGAAGTATTTCAAAAGCAGCTAGAAAAAATTGTCAGTGCCTTGAGTCTGCCTGTCTTCTGAGCTATGATTTGCCTTTTATGGTCATTTGTCTGACTCACGCGTGGGAGTGCAATTCACGGTTCTGGCCCTACTGCCACCCCACCGCATTCCCTGTGTCTGATTAGAATGACTGCCCCTAACGGCCCAGCTGGTATCTTCATTTAAGAAATTCCACTTATTTAAAACTGTTCTCAATCAGCCTTACATATTAATTGGTTTTCATGTGACTGGAGGTAAAGAATTAGCAGTGCTTTTTGGAATATCAAGTAATCCTAATCTTGGTTTTCAGTTATTAAAGGAAAACATAAATCATGATTATAAGGATCTCAGATGTTTTAATACTTTTACCTATTTTTTTCTGCTGTTTCATGGAATCCCCAAACTCAGAGCTATTACTGCTGGGTTTTGCTCATGATCCAGTGTATATCACTTTATATATGACTATTACATATTTTTTAAATATTTAATGTATTTTTAAGCTTATGTTAGTATCATACCCTTTGTATAAAAGTTAAACAGTATGAGAATGTAACGTATAACTTGAATCTTCTTAACCATTTTCTGTATATTTCTCAACATTAAAACAAACTTCATGATATATACATATATTTTTCTATTTGTCCAAAAATGGAATTAAGTTCTCCATTGCTTTGCAACTTAGTACATTCTTTTGCAACTAAATACACTTTTGACAGGTTCCGTGTAATACAGATTATCTCATTTTTCATAACATCTCCATGATAAACATTTATTGAGTGTGTATATTATAAATCCCCTATGAAGAAAGTTTGTGTTATTTGCAGTTTTTCAGTGCTGCAGGAAACATATTTAAACGTATGTTTCCTTAATTTCTTTCCTTTAAATTACATGTTATTTGGTTCTTACAAATGGCTTCATGTTGTTTTCTGTTGTCCCCAGTAAAGGCTCATGGTTAAGTTCCTTAAAACCTCTGTGATAGCATCCCTGATTTCCTCAAGTTTTCTGACAGTACTCGTAGCAGCTGTACAATAAGTACCAGGCACTGTGCTAGGCTCTGTCTTCTGATGGAAGGGTCTGTGCAACACTGAGTAGAGTTAGTGAGTGCCATTATATCATATGAGTACATAAAATCTATAAACATAGGGGTTATAAACATAATTTATTTAAGGGCATCTGATTCCCTTCGAACAGCAATCATGCTATTGAGATATGGTGTGATGGCAGCAGATAGAGCAGCTCTCGTGTTGCCAGGACAGCCAGGACACGAGCACCACTCCACTCCATGTGCACGTGGTGAGGCCGCACAGTGTTAGCGGCTCCTCAGCGCACACTCGCTGAGGTGGGAGATACGTCACTGACCTGCGCGCTCTCAGCTGGTCCCGACAGGGAGTGGCTCTGGCTTGAGGAGACAGGTTCCCCTTTGAGAAGAATCTGGAGCCCTAACCGGTTTGGCTCAGTGGATAGAGCGTTGGCCTGCGGTCTTAAGGGTCCCAGGTTCGATTCCGGCCAAGGGCATGTACCTTGGTTGCGGGCACATCCCCAGTAGGGAGTGTGCAGGAGGCGGCTGATTGGTGTTTCTCTCTCATCGATGTTTCTAGCTTTCTATCCCTCTCCCTTCCTCTCTGTAAAAAATCAATAAAATATATTTTTTTTAAAAAAAGAAGAAGAATCTGGAACCGTCTTCAGCTGTGCTCTCTCTGACCTCACAGAAGGACCAACACCTTCACTGTTGTTTTTACAGAACCTGGAGCTGGTGGAAAAAGGCTTCAGTAACTTGAAGAAACAAATTGAAAATGCCAGGATGTTTGGGGTCCCAGTGGTGGTGGCTGTGAATGCATTCAAGTAAGTGCAGCGCCGGGGCCCAGGGGACTGTGGAAACTGGTCAGAAAACGTCTCCTGGAGCTTTTAGCGCTCTTGATTCAGTTACTCCTCTTGGTTGTTGAGCTGTGCTTCAGGGGCCTCTGACGGGCACCACACACGGCACAGGGAACTCGTCACCTCGCCCACTGAGGGTTCAGGCTCAGATTTGGCTCCCCTGGGTCCCCTCCCCTCCACCGGGTGAAGTGGGTAACACATAGGCCCGACGTTAAATGTTCTGTTTGGTGTCCAGAGGCCTTTTGAGCTAACAGGAGATCATAGCCCTACAGAGTTGCATTATTTCTCTGAGCCTGGTGGGATGTTGTAATGACAAAGAGTCGAACGTATTGAGCTGGAAGTGTTCCTGCGAGAGAGGACTTGCGTGGGTTGTGTAAATATTGTAATGCTGTTTTTGGTCTTGTCATAATGGCCTAATCACAGCAGAATGGGAAGCAAAATATTTTTAAAGCGAGTACATATTGATTCCTATGCTATACCTGGAATGGTCTGGGTACTTTGACATCTCAACCTCATCACATCCCAAATGAAATAAGTGCTATGATTATTCCCACTTTACCCATGTGGAAATCCAGGCACATAAAGCTTAGGTAACGGGCCGAAAGTCACCTCGGTAGTAAATCGTGGAGCTGGGATTCAGACCCAAGCAACATTACTTGATTAATGTCCATTTATCAGCAGGGCTTTAATGGCAAAAACAAGAGAGATTCTGTCCTTCTCAGGCACTGTCAGTGCTCTAACATGAAGTGCTGCCTTTTCAGGACAGATACAGAGACCGAGCTGGACCTCGTCAGCAGCCTCGCCAGAGAACATGGGGCTTTCGACGCCGTGAAGTGTACTCACTGGGCAGAAGGGGGCAAGGGTGCCCTAGCGCTGGCTCAGGCCGTCCAGAAAGCAGCTCAGGCACCCAGCAGCTTCCGGCTCCTGTATGACCTCAAGGTGGGTTACTTGCTCTATGCAAAAAGCCAGTGAGGTTTCTGTGTGGCTGCCTCTGTTCAGAGCTGTGTTTAACAGCTTCAGCTCTGTGGGTCTGATTCTCATGTAGATGAGTTACACATCCTGGACCCTCAACTCTAGACAGCTTTCTTACCAACTCATATTGCTGCCTACACACAGAGTAAGGGTCCAGGCAAGAAGACCCTGGGAGGTTGGCTCACGTCCTAGCTTTTGGAAAGGCTCACAGCACATTTCCTCTGCTGGTAGGAGGAGGGGTCATATATAGGAGGGTAATTCACTACGGCCTTTAACCCAAGGCACCAACCATATTAGGGCAAGTTGACACGGGGCTACAGCAAGGCTCAGATACGTTTTCTCACTTCCTGGCACAGAGCTGCCTCAAGTTCAGAGAAGCCCTCGGGTGCAAAACCACGCACCCCAGCAGGCTTTAGCATTTTTTCCATCACTGAGTAAACTACATGATGTCTGGCCCAAGCAGAAGCACTGCTTATTCCGTGAACAATAAAGTATAAAGTTAGTTCAGAGAAAGGTTGTTTATATTATAGAGTTGTGTTTTGTTTTCATTTCTCTGTCCATGTATTTCAGGATGTGATTGGACATTAAGTGGTATGCCCACAACAAGGAACTTCATTAGGAACTTGGGATGGATGTGGTAGCTAATTCTGTTTGTATTCTCTAAGTGGGCTCTTGGCTTGGTTTTTAAAAGATAATCATACACTTTCAAAAATTGACATAAAAAAAGCCATAAAGGGTTATTTCCAAAGGTAGGAGGAAGAAACCCTATTACTCTTGAATTTTAACATTCTTTTGTTTCTCTTTGCCTCTTGCATATATAATACACTGGCAGTTAATTAACACTGCCCTGTGGACACGGACATTTTCCTATGGAGCTTTAGTTTCACAGACGGGTTTGAAAATCTATTCAACCGGTGGTCTTTTCAGGAAATGCCATGAACACAGATGCGAAGCCTTTCTAGGCATCCTCTCTAAGCACCCCTCCGCAGTGCCTACTGCTAGGAGCCCCAGGCCTTGAAGGCGAGCAGGAGACCTGCTTCGTTATAACCCATTTCTGCTTGGAACTTTGCTCTGAAAAACAGGAGGCTGCCACTTTTTGTCTTATTCCACATCTGTTGGTCTTAAATCACCCTTCCACAGAGTACTTTTGCTTCAGAAGTTCTGAACATGCCTTGGCACATAGAGCCCAGTCACAAGATGCATATGACACTAATCTCTGTTGCATCTTTATTTTATTTTTTAAATAATATTTTTAATTGATTTTTTACAGAAAGGAAAGGAGAGGCATAGAGAGTTAGAAACATCGATGAGAGAGAAACATTGATCAGCTGCCTCCTGCACACCCCCTACTGGGGATGTGCCCGCAACCAAGGTACATGCCCTTGACCGGAATCGAACCTGGGACCTCTCGGTTCGCAGGCCGACGCTCTATCCACTGAGCCAAACCGGTTAGGGCACTGTTGCATCTTTATAAGCCATAACTGAATAGTTGCTTTAATCGTATCCATTATGCAAAACCCTTTCATAAATTATCACTGTTTAGTTCAAAAAGGAACTTTTTTTTTATAGGTTATTATTCCTTTCCAAAAAATAAAACTCACCCAGTGCATTCTCTTAGCTTTAGTTGCTAGGGAGTAGAGTCAGATAAATGGACTAATTTTAGTAATTTGCTCATCCAAGTTACCACTGAGTAGCTTTCCTTCCCAGTTCCTTTGCTGTTTGCTGTGATTCCCCCCACTGGGCAGCAGGTGAGAAGCCAGGCGCCCTGTTGTGGATAATCAGCGGGGCCAGGCCCTCACCAGTTAGACCCCTGGCCTCCGACCACTGTGCTCTGCTGCAGGTGCCACGGAGGGCATAGCCTTTCACACTGTTCCCACTTCATATTCACCATAGAAGTCACCAGATTGTTTTTTAAAACTATTTCTAAGTAACAGCAATTGCCAATCAATATGTTATATGAAGAATAGCATCTACTTCTCATATGCAAACCGGGAGTTATGTGGATGGATATCAGTTTTATTTCATAAACAGCTTTGACAGGAGACTGCTTTCCAGTCATAGAACATTATTTTTTACTTATAAAGAAGTAATTATTCTTGGGTAGTCATCAATATTGTTTGTGATGTACCTGGTGAGATCCTAAATACACACACACAGAGAGAAACTACCTCTGTGGGACATTTTCCACTTATAAAATCTGGGGCTTGGCATTAAAAGAAAATGTTCTAACCCAATAAACCTCAAACTATTTGCATGTCTGTATATGTATATAAAAACATCTTCTGGCCCGTGTTCCAGCGATGGTCTCCCCCTCTTTTCTGTCTATCAGCTCTCTGTAGCGGATAAAATCAGGATCATCGCACAGAAGATCTATGGGGCAGATGACATTGAATTGCTCCCTGAGGCTCAGCTCAAGGCAGAAGTCTACACGAAGCAGGTAGTTGTCTGATTGTTTTGTTCTTTCAGCTGTTTATAAAGCAGCCCCGAGTTCCCCTAGCCGATAAGCACCCACTGCTTTCCCTCCTCTGGCAGCAGCCTCTGCCCCTCTGAAATAGTGAGTGTGCATTGGGTGATCCAGCCCCAAGTTCTTTATCACCACAGGTGGTATATGAGTGTGTGGAAAAGCCAGGAGGAATTGTGGAATGTCTTACTAAAGTATTGAGAGCTGGCCTTGAGTTGTATTGGCTATATAGATGAAAATAAAATACTCACGTTTGGGATATGGTTGAGTACTTACTCCCCTCACCCAACAGATTCTCTCCGCACCCCCCTCCCCGCAACTTTTTTTTTATTTAACTAAGCTAGAGGGCAGCGAGGTGGAGATGGGTATAAGGGGAGTTGAAATGTTTCAAATAAATTGAAGCATCCACACCATCGCGCCCAAAAGCTCTTTCTCGCGGTGTCAGCTTTTCATTTGCCCCGCTTCTGTTCCCTTCTTTCCCCAGGGCTTTGGGCATCTGCCCATCTGCATGGCCAAAACACACCTGTCCTTGTCTCATAACCCAGAGCAAAAAGGTGTGCCTACCGGCTTCGTCCTGCCCATTCGCGACATCCGTGCCAGCGTCGGGGCTGGTTTTCTGTACCCCCTGGTTGGAACGGTAAGTGAGTGCTGCGACTCGTCTTAAACTGAGTGCGAAGCCAGCAGGCAGATGCCAAATGAGCAGAGTTCATTGCTGAGGAGATAGTCAGAGTCGGGCCTGTTAAGGATTAATCCTCTTGCTGTGGACCCTCTGGTGTCAGTTCAAGGATGACGCATGACTACTTGTGCTGAATAACAATTCTGTTTCCCAGTGACAGTGTGACTGACTGAATCCAGGATGGGCCCAGTGGATGGGCTGTGATAGAGCTTGTTTATAAGCACAACTGACATTCATTGGGCACCTTTCACGGGTTAATTCTGTGTTCCCAACAGCTATGAGGCAGGACAGGGGCTCTGCACCTGCTGGGTCTTCTTGACAGGCCTCGAGCTTATGCCGTGGCTTTTATGCATATTAAAGGAGGAAAAATGCTTAAGGGCATAGTCGCAGCTTGAACTTTGTCCCAGGGTTAGCATTGATCTGGTGCCCAGGTTTCCCCCTTAGATCCTGTATCGGCAGATTGTACTTACCTGCACACAGGATTGAAATATTAAACTCACTCCCTACACAATGAAAAGGAAATCAATAGCCCTCCTTTTGGAACTTTATTATTTTTTTCAGACAGTAAGAAAGTGGTAGGAGGTGGCATTATAGAGTCAAAAGTGTGTAACAGTAAAGCCGAATCCTGTTTTGAGCTCTGCTGATTTTGGCCATGGGCTTGTTATTAAAGATATGACCCCGCTCCGCTCAGCTCTCAGTGTGGGTCAGGCAAGTGCCTGCACCCCTGTGTTCCCTCAACCTCGCAGGGAGCAGGAGGCTTGGCTATGTCCTGATGTTCATCTTTGTCAGTCCTTGGGGTTTGTAGAAATTCCTTTTTCATAGGAATGATAACCCGTTTGCCCAGCACCTTGAATACTGCAGAAACATGTCCTTTCTAGAGGAACTGTTAGCAACTGCCGGCTGAGAGAGCAGTAGCTGCCGTCTGTATTGTCACGATGATGTGTGTGTGCAATGGGTGACTAACCAGGAAAGCAACACTGGAAGTGGTCAGGCCAATGCGTTTGCCTGTAGTGCAGAGAGAAACACATCCTGCCCAGCTCAAGACTCTGTCATCTAGAACAAACTCTCGCATTAGAAGCCAGCTTGGACCAGGACATTTCTGCACATAACCTAAGTGGCATAACCTAGATGAGCACTATTCTTAACGCCTCCTAACTGCTATTGCAGCCTGAACAGGACTGAGGATTTGAGTATTTTATGTATTAATTCAAGGTGTGGTGGTTTCTTTTCAGAATTTTATGTCTACATTCGTATGTGTATGTACATATAATCTTTTCATTTTTAAAATTTTCTGATTGTCAATATGACCAATGTGTAGGGAGCAAAATCTTCTTTGGATAAGAGTAAAAATACTGAGAATCTTTATCACTGTTTTGGGGACCATCTTTAGCATCTTCTGCCAACATGCTCATTTATGTCTGCATCAACGGCACAAGTCCTTTGTCTTTATAATGCCATCTTCAGGCTTGTCTTCGAGGTCTCAGGACCCATCCCTTCCTTCCTCTCCTTCCCCCACTCCCAGCAGTGGCTTATCTCTTATAGAATTTGAGGGTAGAGACCGACATCAGATCCCTATAGTATGTTCTAGGGCAGCGGTCGCCAACCTTTCAGACCTCATGGACCACCAATGGCCTGCGGACCACCAGTTGGCAACCGCTGTTCTAGGGAGTACTGGTTGGCATTCACATGTCAGAATTAAGTTTTCTAAAGTGTAGATGTTTTGTGTCACAGAAGGTGACTCATCCTATTCTATGACATTTTTATAGTTAAGTTATAGAAGTTCAACTTAAACTATTTCCTGTCTGGATCTGATTTGGAACCTGTGAGTATTCATTATATAGAACATTGTTATAGATAAAATATACTGACTTTTCACTTATAAGCCTTATGAATTTGCACCTAAGTAGATGTTTGTCAAAGCCAAGTCTTTAGAAAAGAAGCAAGTGCAAATATAAGCCATACGCATTACTGGTTCAGTCTTAAGCCAATTTGGACGAGTAAGAATAGTGGTTGTAGCCTGGCTGGTGTGGTTCAAAGGTTGAGCATCGACCTCTGAATCAGGAGGTCACGATTCAATTCCCAGGCAGGACATATGCCCGGGTTGTGGGTTTAATCTCCGGTGGGGGGCGTGCAGTAGACAGCCAATCCATAATTTTCTCTCATCATTGATGTTTCTATTTCTCTCCCTTTCCCTCTCCCTTCCTCTTTGAAATCAATAAAAAAAATTTTTTTAAAGAATAGTAGTTACAAAACCATGTACATTGTGTAGAAAATGTCTTGGCCCAAGTTAAAAGATACTAATTTCTAATGATGTGTTGCTGTAGCAAAAATACTATGGGTATCTATGCAAATTTAATTAAAACAAAATGTAAAAGTGGACAAGCCTGTACCTCCTTTTGGTCTTGTGAATTGAGGGCGGAGGAGGTGAGTAACTGACTCCTTAGCCTCCTCAGCACCTGCTGCTTCTTGTTGCAACTGTCAGCATGGAAGAGGAGAGTGAGGCCTGGCATTTGGTTTGCTGAAGGATCTGAGGGTTTCTCTTTGACGTTATACAGGAGAAGTGACTTTATTTTTAACTAGAGGCCCGGTACACTGATTTGAGCACCAGTGGGGTCCCTCGGCCTGGCCTGCAGGGATCGGGCTGAAACCGGCTCTCCGACATCCCCCAAATCTGTGCACTGGGCCGCTTGTATGCATATAAGATCTTTGGTTAATCTCTTTCCGCCCTCCCCCTTCCCTCTGAGATTCATCAGTCTGTTCCATGTTTCCATGCCTGTGCATTGAGCATCTGCCCCCCTGGTGGTCAGTGCGCGTCATAGCTACCAGTCGCTTAGGCTTGTGTGTGTGTTAACAAGAGGAGTACCATTTTGTTGACAACTATAAAATCATATTCTATCTTTGTGCCTTGGGCTTTCTATCTGAGGGAAACATGGGGAAAAATCACCAAGTTTATTTGGAATGCTATTTCACACCTCCTAGATGAGCACAATGCCTGGACTCCCTACCCGGCCCTGTTTCTATGACATTGATTTGGACCCTGTAACCGAGCAGGTGAATGGGCTGTTCTAAACAGGTAAGTTGTTTCTGATGAGAGTATTGCCATTTTCTTTATGAGACATACCTATGAATTACAGGACTCCGACTAAAGTGATGTCATTTTAGATATTGCTGAGGGGAAGGGGGCAGTAATGAGAGTAACACATTTTTGGAGGAAGAGCATGGATATCACAGGTTGGCAGTGAGGGGGGAAAGCCGCTGCCTCTTGAACTAAGGAGGGACTGTAGCGGAAGCTAGGCCTCCTCTGCTGGAGCCCAGGAGGCTCTGAGTTCCGGGTTGATGGTACAGGAGCAGCTGAGGTCTGTACTCTGAATAGAGCAGCTAAGAGTTGGGTAAAGTCCTCGGGAGTAGAAAAGAGAAGGAAACAACCATGCAGTTCTTGGGTCTTAAGTGAAAGGCCCCAAGTACGCATCACAATGAATGAGCCATCCCTAGACACATTCAGTTTAATTTCAAAAGCATCAATGATGAAAATCCTAAAAATCCTTCTCCAGAGAAAGGCTTGCCTATGAAAAAATGAGAATTAGACTGAACCAACCTGTCTTAGCAGCAGTAAGAGGAATACCCTCCAAGTTCACAGGGAACGACACCCTACCAAATCCATCCAGATGTTTCAGGCACATACAGGTTCCCCAGCCCGTATCTCCTCTGAGGAAGGGATTTGACCTTGTACTCCAGCAAAATGAGGAATAAACCAAGAAAAAAGAAGACATGGTTCTCAGGAAACTGAGTCCAGATCTAGACAGCAATGAAGTACAAGTGACCTCGGGTTACAAGTCCAACGTGAAACAGGAGGAGGAAGGCCTGAGAAAGACTAGGAAGAGCTAGAAAAGACAAGGGTATCAAGGGGTCATGCGAGCCATAGTCCTCACCTGAGCAGCCGTAAGGATGGTTACTTACAGAAACAGCTGCTTCCACAGAGGAGACGCTGTGCTTGATGCTGAGGGAACACATTCCTCAAGAGGCAGGTGTGACGTTGGAAAGGTCATCCTGGCTCATGCCTGGTCTGGCCTGGCACAGTGTTCACACAGCCATGATGTAAATGCCGTGCATTGTTTCCAGGTCTTTGGACTGGCCGGCCAGGGGTTGTGGGAAAAGATGTAAATGATAACCGCTTTGGTAGTGCGAGAGGGTGATGGTGTAGTGTGGAAGGGAAGAGGAAACATTTCAGCAGTTAGAGGAAATATTCATTCCTGGTTTTTGTTTTTGTTTTTCCTTCTAGATTGTCCATCTTCAAGAAGCTACTTTGCAAGTTAGGCCAGTGTGTATTCGGGCCTACGGGCAGGAGAGTGGAGAAGCCGAGAGAAGTCAGCCCCTGCCTCGAAGATCTTCTGAAAGAAATAGTGGGAGTTTCCCCCAAAGCCCTTCTTTGGTCTTAATTCCTATCATCATGTCTAAATGAACATAAAGCATGCACACGTCTATTTACTTTACTGAAATTTCACAGAATAAAAGAAAATGATTTTACTATCTTTGTGTTCAAATATAAACTGCAGCATTAACAGACTGCTGCAATCTCTGCTGTCCTGGGTGAGCTTGTTGGTCTGGCATACACTGGGACTAAAGAAGCAACTTGCAGTATGTACTTTATGATACTGCTCTGTTTACAGGGGAAAATGGTGCATGCTTGCATATTTCTGGGAGGGCATATATCAGGAGGAGCAGGATACAGAGGACGTACCTTTTTATCATATCTTTCTATGTTCCTTTTTTAAACTATATTTTTATTGGTTTCAGAGAGGAAGGGAGAGGGAGAGAGAGAGAGAGAAACATCAATGATGAGAAGGAATCATTGATCAGCTATCTCCTGCATGCCCCCTACTGGGGATCAAGCCTACAACCCATGCATGTGCCCGGACCAGGAATCCAACCGTGACCTCCGGGTTCATGAGTCAATACTCAACCATTGAGCCACACCTTTACCCTGAAAAATAGTGCTTATATAGGCTTTTGTCCTGAACTCCCTTGGAATTCTCATTTCTTTCTCAGCTTTAGCACGGTTTATTTCTAGAGTCCTCAAGGCTGGCCATGCAGTGCTAACTGTAGGTTAGCCCTTTTTGCTTTATTGGTTCAGCAAATGTTTATTGAGCTTTTACTATGTACCTGAGCTCTACTACCTACAGAACATTTTTTTTGCTCAAATGTTTTTCCTTCTCTTGTTTTTTATCTTTTATCTCTTCTTCCTCTCCCATTTTTTCCTCCCTTTCCCCCCTAGTCTTCCTGCGTTAGATCCTTCCAGAAGGTATTGCATCTTCACGCGTTGGCAGAGCAGTATTTTTCCTGGGGTTTTTGGTTTTATTATTTTTAATCCCTTAGGTCAGTGGTCGGCAAACCGCGACTCACAAGCCACATGCGGCTCTTTGGCCCCTTGAGTGTGGCTCTTCCACAAAATACCACGTGCGGGCGCACACGTACAGTGCGATTGAAACTTTGTGGCCCATGCGCAGAAGTTGGTTTTCAGAAAGGAGATAGACGAAACAAGTATACAAGACGCGTGTGGATAGGAGAGTTGGAAGGGGTTGACCTCAGCGAACGTACCTCAATCAGATTGAGGACGTTTTTAGCAAAAGCCAGCTTAGGAGTACCCTAATTAAGTTAATAACAATGTACCTACCTATATAGTTTAAGTTTAAAAAATGTGGCTCTCAAAAGAAATTTCAATCGTTGTACTGTTGATATTTGTCTCTGTTGACTAATGAGTTTGCCGACCACTGCCCTAAGTTCACATCAGTGTTGTAATTCACTGTTTTATAGTCCAAATAAAGAATGGTGGTACAGCCCAGCAGGCATGGCTCAGTGGCTGAGTATCAGCCTATGAACCAGGAGGTCACGGTTCAATTCCCGTCAGGGCACGTGCCCGGGTTGCAGGCTTGTTCCCCAGTGTGGGACGTGCAGGAAGCAGCCGATCAATGATTCTCATCGTTGTTTCTATCTTTCTCCTTCTCCCTTCCTATCTGAAAACAATAAAAAATATATTTTAAATAAAGAATGGTGGTACTTTGGGGACATATGGCAAAGGGGTCATGAGTGCAGAACCCCTGCTCCCCTTACGTTGTGCACTTCCTGGCAATGGTGCACACTCAATGGCGGCATCAGTCCTGTTCCAAAGCATCGTGCAGACCCTGTTTCTGATGTTTTTTCAAATGTCCTAGAAAGCTTCATCGGGAAGGGGCCTTTGGGAATGCAGTTTCGTAAACAAGGGAAGAAAGCAGCCTATTGTCAGACGTCGTGACTTAAAGACCATCTTAAAGGTTTTAGGCTCCTTCCTATCACCAAAGGCCATGTGGGTTTAAATCCTCAATGTTGAGGCCTGGGCAATGTTGCTAAATGGTTGGAGTATCAACCTGAGTACTGAAGGGTCATGGGTTTGATGTTCAGTCAAGGGCACATAGCTGGGTTGCAGGTTCCATCCCTGATCACAGTTGGCACGAGCCAACCAATCTATGTGTCTCTCTCACATCGATGTTTCTCTCCCCCTTCTTCCCTCTCTTCCCTTCACTAAAAAGCAATGGGGCCCGGCTGGTGTGGCTCAGTGGTTGAGCATCAACCTATGAACCAAAAGGTCCCAGTTTGATTCCTGGTCGGCACATGCCCAGGTTACCGGCTCCATCCCCAGTTGGGGATGTGCAAGAGGTAGCCAGTCAATGATTCTCTTTCATCATTGATGTTTCCATTTCCCTCTCCCTACCTCTCTGAAATCAATAAAAATGTATTTAAAAATAAAAAAAGCAATGGGAAAAATATTCTTGGGTGATGATTTTTAAAAGTCCTTAATGTTGATAGGAAAAATAAACACAATTAGTGGGAGAGAAGGTTTTATACGCCAAAGATTATAAACAAAGCCCTAGTACAATAAATAATGCAAATGTTTCTACTAGGTCTTGCTTGGGGTGAATGGACCATCACCAATGCAAGAAGTTCCTAAGTAGAAGTGCAATATGCCTTGAGTAAAAATTCAAATGTTACAAGTTGCTTTTTTCACTTGGTGATAAATCTTAGAGATCTTACTTCATCCGCACTTTGAATTGCACTGTTACTGCCCACCAGATGAACTTGCTGAGGTCATGTGGCTCCACAGCCCCTGCTCTTTACCATCATTCTGCCTTTCAGAGCTCTTCCTGCCGGGTTGCACAGAAATGGACGTCCCACTGTGACAGATGGAAAGCTGCCCATTTCACACCCCTTCAGAAGGAAGGGACGATACAAGGTGGAAGAAGCAGAGGGAAGAAATAAAGAGGCGAAGAAGGCTGCCAAGCAATTATTGATGCCATGGGTTTTATGGAATTGATTCTTCAATCTGATAAGAGGTGTGATCAAGAGGAGGCATACAGAACAAAAAACTGCTGGCTAATTGAAGGCCTGGATTCAAAACCTACAGGAGAATTGTTGCCAGAGAAGGTCCAGTGCCTTTACCTTGGGGCTAAGAGTCCTTGCAGATCACTGGCCTCCCTGTCCTCATTCCTACCCTTCTCTGGGCTGCTAGTAATGCCTTCCCTTCCCATATTCGTAATATTACTGACAGATTGCAGCTTCTCTGATCTGTACCTCAGAGGCTGTTGCTATGCACTGAAGATGTATATACACTCTTAATCCCAAAGAGAGACAGCATGTATGTGCTGTCAAGTGAGGCAGACGACAACAGAATTACTGTTGCGTTTGTGTTGGCTGGTGCAGCCCTAATGGTGCCTAGGAACAGATCCAACCAGCAGAGAGCTGGAGCCACAGGTTCATTTGATGGTGTGCCAGGGAAGAAGGGGTGGAGGCTTCCTCCCAGATCTCTAAAATGTAGGAAGTGTTACCAAAGAGTTAGAAACCATTTTTGGTAGCTTCAGGCCCAGGGTGTGGGTAGATAGGAACCAGGATGGGAGAAATGGTATGATCAGTAGAGAGCAGATAAATATGTAAGCTCTGTTTTATTGGCGTACTGTATCTGGTGATGCTAACGAGATAAGCTGTAGGTAGGATAATTTCTCATCAGATGGGATAGATATATTTATAGCCTGTTTCTCATTATATAATGAAAAGCTACTAATGGAATAACAGACAATGATAAGGGTAACAGCTTCCTGTCACTTAAGTGAGTTCAGGGATGACAGATTTCTTTCATGCATGAGATACTGGATACATTTTTTTAAAAAAACTAAAATACGGCATTGACTTCTTGTCATATTATAAAGAAAAAACACAGTGCAGTATTTTATGTATAGTATTATATCTTTCAGTGTGTGTGTGTGTGTATAGTATTATATCTGTCAGTGTGTGTGTGTGTGTGTGTGTGTGTGTGTGTGTGTGTGGTAGAGGTCAGGGATGAGTTATTTGTAATAGGCCTTAAAGAAATCTGCCCTTTAAATACAAAATCAATTCACCTCTAACCTCAAACCACCCTTCAGTTCCCATTCACTAATCTTTTTTTCTTTTAAGTGGGCCCTGGATGGAGCTCAGTGGTTAGAGCATCAGCCCGTGGAACAAAGGGTCTTGGGTTCAATTTCCAATCAAGATTTTGTACCTCAGTTGCAGGCTCAATCCTAGCCCTAGACAGGGTGCATGGGGGAGGCAACCAATTGATGTGTCTCTCTCACATTGATGTTTCTCTCTCTCTCTCTCTCTCTCTGCACCCCCTACCTTCCTCCCCTCCACTCTTTCTCTTTAAAAAAATCAATTGAAAAAAATATATCCTCAGGTGAGGATTAAAAAAAGAAAAACAAGTGGAGCCCGGGGGGGAGTGGGGGAGTCAATGGGGGAAACGGGAACATCTGTAATACTTTAAAAAAATTTATAAAGATACATTTTTAAAAAAAGAAAAGCAAGTGGAATAAGATCTACAAGTTATTAAGGTGGACTTTATTGTTTTAACCTGTCCCTTGTTTCATTTTCAACTATTTCCTAATAACACAGATGTGCTACCCTGTCTTCAATAAATAAGCTCATCTTATTTTTGCCGGAAATGTTGCAAATTCCCAGATCTAGATTTGTGAAAACTTGGATCTCAGTGGGTAATAGCGCCTCCATTGGTTATGCAGGTATGGATTTCTTTGGGCCAAAGTTCAAAACTGGCAGTAAGCAGGGTTAGCAACCCTCTGAGGATATAAAAAAACATATTCAGACGTGTTTGCTGAATGAACAGGTAAATTGAATTCTTAATTTCAACTAAACTAGATGCTTATGGGTTTTCTTGTTTTATAATCCTTGTTCCTTCTATCTATGAATTTAAGATCTTGACAACTTGGATAGAGCATCGTCCTGGGGACTGAAGGGCCCCAGGTTCGATTCCAGCCAAGGGTTGGAGGCACATCCCCAGTAGAGGGTGTGCAGGAGGCAGCTGACTGATGTTTCTCTCTCATCGATGTTTCTAACTTTCTATCCCTCTCCCTCTCTGTAAAAAAATCAATAAAATATATATATTTTTAAAAAGATCTTGACAACTTGGATTCAGTTTTACTATTGTGTTATCACAGTTCTTTCCTTAATGA